AAAATTGAACCACTTAATTAGGAACATGCGATGATGTTTGCCAGTAGTAGATAAAACTCATATCCCAGGCACTGCAGGATTGGATGCGAAGCAGTCAGAGAGAAAGCTTCGATCATACACTGCATTGTTTGACTTTGAAACAAATCAAGGCGTCCATGTCGTGCAGTGGCATAGCCGGCGGAGTAGGGTACCTCTAAATTTCTCAATTTTACATGTGCATATATACACGCAAACATACAAACGCACGCCCACTACATAAAGTACATTTGACCCTTTTCCCCCTCCTCCCCGAAAAATTTCTGGCTACTTTGGTGACATCGCAACATATTGTTCACTGTCGCATGCTTGTCATGCATGCATTTGCAATCTGGTATGTTACCGTATGTATAGTACACCATGCCAATGAAACATATTTCCTGGCATACATCGCACATGGTCACTCTTTTATGTTAGTCATAATACATGCACAGGCGAATATTTGAGAATTTCGAATATTCGAACTCACTTCAAAACGAATTGAAAAATATTCTAAATTCATGAGCATTCAAAATGAACAAATAGTTGGTTTCACTTCAGTCAAGGAATACTCTACCGAGAATACACCTATACAAGACAGTGTCCCGCAAATCATAGCATGCATGAAATGCATGTCACGATTTTCATGTTACGACCTGTCAGTTATGTCGATCACACACTCACGTCATGCCATACAAATTCTGGCATTTGTCATATTAGAAAAAAAAATGGCACAAGAGAGCAATAAGACTGGGACGTGAATCATGCCGCAATCGCGCAAACATTGCTATTTTCGTATCTCGACCTGTCATTTATGTTTCTGGTGCACTCATGAATGTCACACCAATTTGGCATGTACTCACTTGATAAAACGGCCGCGAAAATGCAAAAACCATGACATATAAGCCATCTCATACAAGACACACATACACGTCATGCCATATGTAATACCAATTAGGGCATACGTAAAATTAACAAAAAAAAGCAGCGAAAGAAAGAACGAAAGAGAAGAAAAACTGGGAGGGGTGAGGCATGAAGGGAAAGGTGCTTCAGCTTCATTGACGTGAAATCCACGAAGGGGCGAAGAATGCACTGTTTTGAGAGGAATCGCCTTGATGGGGAACTGGTGGTATGACGGGTGGCGAAGCAGATGAGAAAGAAGAGGACGAAGTTGAAGATTACGAAGACAGTGCGTGTCGCTTATGAAGATGACATATTTAGGGGCGAAGCTCTTAGGGCAAAGGCTAGTCCCGCTTGGTCGTAGCCACCTGCTCTAGTTTTTGAGAGTAAGCTAGATGAAGCAGGCAGGGGGTACTCCAGTACTATAATTGCGGATTAGATGGTGCTCACTGCATTGGAGACGCGTGCTCGGGTGTGAGTCGAGAACGTTAGATGGCGAATTTGTACTCATATCTGATTTGATGGGAGCGCATTTGGACACCGCTAAAGGAGCACCCCGGCTCAAATATCATTGTATGTGAAAATCATTCGAGATTGTTCTAAGCGATGGGACACTGCTAGGGGTCTCCCTCTTGGCGGGCTTCCTCTTTCTTCAGTGGTCTGCGCGCTCGGAGTATGCGACAAGGCGGCGGATCGGAGGGCTCGGAAAGCTGCTGCAGCGCGTGCTCGCTGACAGGACCCTGAAGTGAGAGCCCGCGAGGCCGGAGCTGCACGGAAGCGGACGCCGAGCTGAGCGCCCGAGAAGCCGAAGCGACACGGAGTCACAGACAAGCGGATACCGAGCTGAGAGCCCAAGAAGCGGCGATGAAACGTGCGCACCGGCAGGCGGATCCCGAGGCGACGCGGGAAGCCGCGGCCAATCTCCTCAAGCGATCGCTGCCCGAAGGCGCGGACGCGCACTTCATGCGAGACTTTCTGGATCGCCGTTTTAGCCACAGCTGCAAAGTTTGCGACCGCTTGTAGTTACAACAACCCAGCCTCTATGTCCAGCACCAGGAACGAGCAATCCCATGCCAATCGCATCGCCATTCTTCATGAGAATTCCCCGCCGGCAGCCGAGACGATCAAAGCGAATGAATACAAGATCTGCTGTATCTGTAAAGGTACCTTGGTTGCGGGGAAGGTTCCCCGATGAGCGTGACATACGGCTGCTGCTACCCGCCGAAAACCGGCGCACTTGCTCCCACTCAATCCGGTCAAAGAACGTCTGATCGTTCCTTGTTTGCCCTTCATGAGCATCAGGCGTTTGAAGCACGGTAGCGGACAACACGGCATCAAGAGATAGGTGGTGAACGTTACCATAAACGTTCCGAACACGGTGCAGTGCCTCGAAATGTTGCGGATGACGCAACATTTCGGCATCGACGACGACTTAATTCACATAATCATCATCATTCACCCAGTGAATAAGCTGCGTTATTTTTTTATGCCACACATACTGTGCTCTAGCTACTAGGCTAGGCTTTCTTTTTAGGGGCGAAGCTCCTTATAGCTGCACCCGTTTGTCCCTCGTAGTCGTAGTAGTAGTGTGTAACCAGTCCTACATTTTGACCTCCAAGGTGGTGCCGGTGGCAGATTTTTTCTGTGCGTTGTTGAACAATAAAAAATTCGCAGCGTGCACGTTAACTAAAAACCTAATTCTCCTGTCTCTCATTCCCCCTTAGCAGCCATTGGCATGTACATTGAGCACTATCTGACAAGAAAGGGTTGCTACGTTATACTCGCTGGGCGTAACTTCCTTGGTTTTAGAAAGGTTTAGCGATCGTTGGGCCGCAGTGCCATGAATACAGTGAACTAGTATATACCATGAACTCGAGGTGGTTAAAGGTGGGAAGTAGACGCGAAGCGCAAGCCGTAAGAAAGTGTGCGTGTGCCTCCTCTCGTTCAGTCCTTAGAATGTCCGCTGGATGGCGGTGCTTATATATGAGGAACATATGATGAAAAGATGCGAGATGGTGGTACTTGGAGTGTTGAATAGGTGGACGAACGGACACACAGACAGATGCATGAACGGACGCACGGGTGGCTGCACAGACGGACGGACGCAGGAACGGATGAATGGGCGAACGCAGGGACGGACGCACAGATGGACGTGCGGACGCACGCATGGACGGACGGAAGCAAGAACGAATGGACGGACGGATGCTTCACCCCACTCTCCATCATTCACTCCATGGATATGCTGCCATTTTTATGAAGTATCTTTTGTGTCTATCTTGCTTTGTACCCTTCTGTGTATTCCTTTTCTTTTAGATTTCTATGACTGACCTTTGTGCATAGTCCGACTTTCTCCTTCGATTTATCTGATTGTCCCTCTTTTTATTTCTATCTGTAGTCTGCATCTCACCTTTTATCGTTTTCCGTTTCTTCCCAGCTGTTCCTATATATACATGTCTCACTTACCTATCGCTCTCTGCAATTCTACTCCCAACCTCCTCGTAACCATCCATTCTCCTTCTTCCCACCTTGCCGTGCCATACTCTACAAGGCTATGCCCTGATCTGCCAGCGTATTTGGATAGCCGAGTGGTTAGGACGCCGCCCTTCAATCTCGCCTCGCGATTTCTTTTTGTTTCTATCTCTCTCTCTACATTCGTTATCTCGCTCATGTTGCGTCAATCGCCGGGCGAATCGGCGCACTTCTACTGGCAGCGAAGAGAAGGAAGCCGTTGACGAGGAGGACAAAGGTTGTACGTGCTAGTTCACGATTGTGCCAGTGCTCACAGACAACAAACAAACGAACCAGTTCATGATGATCACTTCCTATCCAATTAAGGCACGGCCAACATCGACATTAAGAGCCCTGCTGCACACTTTCAAGTAGCCATGGACTGTAATCACTAAAGGAACTTCTTACCTCACGAATTCACAACGAAAGTTTTTAGGATCCATTTAGTATGAGCCAAGTTACAAAGATTTGTCGCACGCTGCCACTGCATTCTCTAGTCCCGAAGAAAGCGCTGGAAACTATGCAGGGAGGTATGGCACGGCGCAAGAAAATGCGTTGTGTACGCCTCCTGACCTTGAGCACTTTTCTTCTTCGAATACGCAGCCTTTATGTGCGATGACGTGCGTACGCGTGGACAATCGCGGCCTCCTGGGTCGGCCAGAGTAACGGCCGAACACGCAATGATCAAATCGGCCAATGACTGTGACGAGCGATTTTTGAGCTCAGGCACTGGATCTTGACCTGCAAGATAGTGCCGGTGGGAGATTTCTCCTCTGCGTTGTTGAACAAAAAAAAAAAAAAAAACGCAGCGTGCACGTCCCATTAGGAGCTACTGGAATGTTCCAGTAGGAAACACGGGTCCATCACTGCGTGCTTCGTTACTGAAAATCAATTTTTAGCCGATTAAGAATTTATTGTGAATTCCAGGCCGCGTTGTGCGCTATATTTGGCTCGCGTGTTTCCGAGAGCCTCGACTACCAAACGGCAGTTTTTTCTGACCATGCTCAAAAGGTGTTGCAGGGGCCCCTTTGCTCTAAAAGGCGCTGGCTTCCAAATCAACCGGCCAGTTATGTTCGCCATCACGAAGCCCAAGGCAGCTACATACACTGAAGTGGCCGCAATTTACTAGTAAGCGCCTCGCACTTAAAACCATGATGTAATTACATTTTGAATTGGCTAAGTCCACAATTACAAAGATGATATCTTCTTTGTCATGAAGCCTACAGCATGGCAAAAGAAACCCACCTTCAATGACGGTAGTCACTAGTAGTAGTAGTAGTAGTAGTAGTAGTAGTAGTAGTAGTAGTAGTAGGTAGACACTAGTAGTGCGCAGTATAGGGAAGTGACGAATTTTAGAAGTCTGTTTAGCAGTGCGAGTATGAATGTGCTTACGTGGCTATTCTTAAATCTATTCCGACATCATGGTGTGTGGCGATCCTAGAGAGGTTAAATTCTGGCAACCACTGGCATTGCACAGCAAAACATTGATACCACGAGAACTACCCAAACGGTTGATATAAAATGGACTTGTGTAACCCAAATGCTTAGTGCACTTGCACAATAAACAAGGCAGCAGAGGCATGAACAACTTTTTATTTCCACACCTTGGCTCCACAACCACTGACACAATCGCAACTGCTTTTTAGGCGCGAGATCATTACTGGGTTCTCATTTAGCTTTGCACGAATATAGTCTGTAAGGTGTGAAAAAACGCTGTCAGCAGGCGTGTAGTGGCATTCACCTGAAACACTAACAAAGATTTCCACACTACTCAATGTGCCTGCCTGCACTCAAGATATCGAGCCCATGCTAAAACGACAAAATAAAATGTTCGAGGTCCTTGACAATCTCGTGAAGAAACAAGGTGTCGGAGCACGGGCAATGACCTCCCGAATAACGTCGGAGCAAGTGTCCGAGTGAACACTATGAAAAATATTTGCTTCTAGAACAACTTCCCAAGTACTGCTCGGAGAGCAGGTATAGTCAATGGCTTCACACGATGCAGTTTTTTGCTGGAGAAAAATGTGGCTGCAGCAATAGAAAAATTTTCAACTCGGAGAAGTACTTTGGCACCGGCTTCAATATTTATCAAATTTAAGATCTGGTATGTTACACATCAATGCCAAGAAGTACGCCTGCTGCCGGGCCAACATTTTCCTCCGGCCGCCTTGCAGGTGTGGGAAGTGTCGCCCCTGCGTGCACGGTAAGAAGCTGCCAGAGGGACACGACAACGGGATAACACGCCACTCACCGCATACCATGTGTAAATGAAAATATTTATACACCCATTCACGCATTATATGTATATAATATTTATACCACTTTACAACCTATATGCACACAGACACAGTTGCATACATGCCAGACGGGATGGAGGCTCTCTTGTAAGGTTGCCATCTTTTCTTCCACATCCGTTTGTACAAGACTAAGTTATGTACATATCACTACTGTCTCTACCGGGGAGCCCCCTTTTCCAGACCTGGCGTATTGCCAAGGAAAGCAAAAACATGATAGTGCTAGACAAAGAACACAGCTTTGACATGGCACGCTTCAGTTTACAGTTGTACACAGGTGCCAAACGAAAGTGAAGACGCCTCGCTGCACAATGCCAACTGCACAATGCCAACGGCACTCCGTAGCTTTAGTGTAACCAGTGCCGCAAAACGAGTGCTGTGTACCGCCCAATCATGAGTGGCTCAGCAGCTCGAGTGCTCGTAACCAAAGCACACAGATGCACCGTATACCAGAGCTACGTCCGCGAATCATCACGCAGTTACACGATTGTGATTGTGCAGGCAAGGTTGGCAGCTTCACAACGAACCCCAACACTGCTGCTGAAATATCTCTTAAGTGAAGGTTAAGCCTTAAAGCCTGCCAAAATGTTGTTGTCACGTCACTGCAGCAAGCATCGAAGTTGCAAAGAGAACACAGAATGCTTCAACGCCTGGCCAAGGACGACTGGACAGGACACGTATGCGTACCCTCGGACACGTAACGTCGGGGATGAAAGTTCTTAAAAACACAGGACAAAACCCACGTTCAATAAATAACAATGCTTAAAACTCGTCAGCAACAGCCAGCCTCAACACTGAAAGAACAGGAGAGAGCACCCATGAAGGGTCCTCTTGTAACAATTGTTTATCTCATATTTTCATCCGTCACACAGTGCAGCCAATTATGACAATAGCGGCATTGCAGGCAATCACTAAAGACCAACGAACTGTCTGAAAGTGTAGCCTAGTTGCAAAACACAGACGACTCAGCCTCCATTGACGTTTCTACATAAAATATGAGTCGACGCACAACATGAAGCCATCAATAAGAAATGTTTCCGACACCAAAATTAGAAGTACAGATGCAGTATTAAGAATGCCGAAAATGAGCGAGGTACACTGCAGCATGCTTAAGATCGCAGAGTGTTCCATAATCAGCTGAATTGCAATTTTAAGATAGAAATAATGATATTAATAACTTTGAAAGCTAACCAGTGATACGGCTTTGCCAAGACTGTTTTGATGCTGCATATTTGTCTAACTCCAAGTGAACCTTCACAGCAGTATGCCTTCTTTTAACCAGAAATATGAACACAGAGCAGAAAGCACTGAGGGAAATGAAAAAGCAAGCACGAAATGACAGCGGTGATCAGCTGCAGTGGCTCCAAACTTTTAACCGCGATCGGCTAAGACATGCTTCACAGAGCTTTTGTTACCTCGCTTGCCCAGTCTTGAAGTCAAATTTCATTAGAATTTTGTTCTTCCCTCGTATACCTCCGGGAGAAGCAAGGAGAGAGAATTTTGAGACCAAGAACAAGAAGCCCCAATGTGAAAAAAATAAGCAGGCACAAAATGACAACTGCGATTAGCTGCAGTGGCCACGGGCTTTTATTCAACCGTGATTGGCTAAGACACGCTCCACAGAACTTTAGTTAACTTGCTTGCCCTCTCTCATCAAATTTCAATACATCAGCATTTCGTTTTTCCTTGCTGAACCTTCGGGAAAAGCAAGGGGAGAAGATTTTTAAGACCAGGAGCGAAGGAGGGAGTGGTTTCGACAAATTGAGTAGTCCTCCTATGGTAGGAGGGCCAAAGGAGGGATGGAGCAATGCGGGGGATGAATTTCCCGTCTCGAGTGCTTGCATCAGCACGAGAAGGGCTTGAGGTTCTCCAGCTGCAGCTCAAGCGAGAGTCGCTCCTCAGTTGCCTCCACCAACTCCTGGTTCAGTTCGGTGTTGAGGAGCATGAGCATGTTGTTTCGTTCGCGGTGGGCCCGCACTGCCTGCTGCAAGCCGTACTTCTCATTTGGAATGGTCCTGTGAGCGAAAAAAGTTTACGTCGTCAGAAAGCTGATCTCCTTTTGCAGCGCTTGCACCGCCTTTGATCCTGCAGTGCTAGGTAGATCAATGTGCTGCGCATTGTGACCGATGTTTGTCACATTCGCCGAACCTTTCGAACTGAAATTCGTAACACAAATGCTAGAGTTTGACGTTCTTAAACCGCGATATGATTACGAGAGACACCGAGGTGAAGGGCTTTAGAAGTTGGGGTTGTGCACCTAAATCTGCACGGGCCTTGTGTGCACCTAACGTGCACACTGGGCTTTATTGAACTTGAATTATAATTCCTTTCTTATATAATGTTCACAAATGCAGTCAAACCCATATATATGGGTTTGACTGCATATGTGCTTTTTAATTTATAAATTAAAAAGCACTGCAAAAAGTGGTTGTTACATCAGTATTTCATCTTGTACGAACTTGCCCTTCGAAACAAGGGCAAATTGGCAACCAAGTGATTCATCCTTTTTTTGTGAAGTTTTATTACCGCATGTTAACATCCCCACCGATGAGAATTTAGGCTTATTTGCTTCACAAAGATATGCACACTGCGTGCTTACAAGGAAGTGCAACTGCCTTTACAAGCTACAGACAGTTTCATCGAAATGCGGTACATTCGTGTGGACCTGATCGTCCCTAGCTAGTAGCGCGCAGTGCGTGGCCCTAATATACCGGACCGAGTCACTGCCAGGCTGGCTGTTGTATGGCATGCGTGCATCTGCCCTACAAGTGCTCTTCATCCACTTTTCTCCAGACCATGCATGGATGCGACGAGCGATTGCGGAAACAAGCTATTTGAAAGCGACGTGCACTGCACGTCTATACGATGCTCATAGTGGTTCTGCGCAACGGGGTGCATTGGCTTGCTGTAAGCACACAGTTTACTCTGTGCCTGCGCTGATCAACTTGGCAACAGCGAGTTGCTTTCATTTCTACAAAGAGAGGTGAACTCAAAAGATGTTTATTCGACTGATGATAGAGATATGAACGAGGTAGCCTCTTGGAACAGACATTGTCGTGAGGATTCACAGTGGAAAATGCATCACCAGTCACATTACGAATGCCCCGTGCTCCCACTTTACCGGAACCTGAATGCCTGTTCCTCAATGTTCTTGACACCAATTCTTAAGAGTTGCGACTTTAGAGTTTCATACAATAATACCTTGAGAGGAATCTGGCACTGTGATTGTGTACCTCCATGGAAATAATGGGAAGTACAGGCTTCGAATTGGATAGGGTTAGCTAGCGAACTGTCTACAGACTTTTTTCTACAGTTTCAGTTTTGTTCTTCACAAAGCGCAGGTAGTGGGGTGCGGTGAAAAGCACTGAAGCAGTGCCTTTCTTGTTCAAAGAGGCTGAAGACAACTATATCTGAGCTTTACGAGTCGTATTTGACAGTTTAATAAAGAGTCGTCCACTCAGCGCTGCGCATAGATGTAGCGTCTCATGCCAGTGCGGAATATTGCATCGAGTTCATGTTTTGTCACGAGCTCGTCTTTGCTAAACTCATTTTAAATTGACTGCAAAACGATGATGAAGCTAAGTAGACACACCGTCACGCTCCACTGACTCGACTTCACAACAAACCAGAGGTGCGTTAAGGGCAGACTACTTGGACAGATGCACCTAGCATCGCAGAAGACAAAATGTTAAGCGTTTCACACTTAATACTGTAATGTTATTTACATATATAAATCATACATACTTTCGTTAGAAAAACAAGCAATTTCAAGTGTTGTAAAAAATAAGTCATTAAATCTTGATGCCAAATCTGGAACGCAATGGCGGAGCGATGCATACACTGATGGTTATATTTGTCCAGGTTTCACTTTTGCCACTTCATGATGAAATCTTTTTGCAATAAAGTTTGCGTACAAACTAATGAAGTAAGTTTCAATTAAATATAAGTTTATATCACTTTGTTTTACCTTAGAAAAAGGAGTCACGAATCTCAAGAACATAATCCATTTGAAGCGGATCTGAAGCCTGTACTTCCCATAATGCCAATGGGGGTACAAGCGCCGCTGAAGGAGCCCACGTAGACACTAGAACCAGATTCCCCTCTAGGTATTATTGTATGAAACTCTATGGTTGCAACCTCTCAGGCACAGCAGACACTTCAAGTGCTTTTCCCATGCGAAGGATCGCAGCCCGACTACTCACTTCAGTTCAGTGGCTGCCATGGCCGGTGGTGCCTTGCGCCGTTTCTTTTTTTCGTTGGCGTCGTCCATCTGGTCATCGACTAGAAGCATTGCACTGTCATCTGTGGGGGCTGGACTAGAGTCCTGCACGAGCGAAACACCATGGAGCAAAAACACGGCGTAGCGCCGGGACACGAACGTACAGCGACAGATAGCATCAATAAAGAGCAAATGCCGCACATCATACATTAAGGCCTTGTTCACACTAGAGCTCAAAGCAGGCAGAAGTGACCTAAATTTCTGCCACCTAAAAGCAAATGAAAAACCAAGTGGTGAGATTAATCAGTGTTGTACTAACATTTCTTTTGCAAAAGCAGAAGTGGACAATCTTCCATTTTTCTAAAAACAGTTTTTCAGCTGTCTTGACAAGCGAACCAGGTGATGTAAAAAACTGGTCGCAAACTCCGAATGGCAACCGAGTAGTCAGCGGTTGTTTTTATGAATGCAATCACGAACCTGCCCTGTGTTGCCTGACAGAACCCACAGCCTTTACAAAGACGCATTCGTGAAGACCGCGATTTGGATGCAGTAGATTGGCATTAACATAAGGTGCAGCAGTAGTGCACTGGCATGTTTTAACGCTTTAACACGTCTCACTTTTGCAGAGCTGGGCCAATCCACTGCATCCATGACGGGGGTGTCCATTTATGCAGCCACTGTAATGCCAATGCGTGCTGGGTGCTATGATAAACAAATAAACTGCTATAACTGCTAAATAAAAAAAAATGACATGCTGAAACCTACGCAAACTATTTCTTCTCCATGTTTTACATACATAGCCACATATTCATTTAAAAAAAAGGTGTGAAATTAGGAAACTGGGATGCATTCACTTCCTTGCTTATGAACTCTGTAGACAGAAGTGATGGCAGCAGAACAGATGTGAATATCCCGAACAAGAGTGGAAAGACATGTCTGCCTGAATGGGCACTTTTGCTCTCTTGCCATTTCCCAATGTGAAGAAGGCCTAATGTATAGAGAGACGTTAGTACGGTTTAGTGACCACACCTACGAGCATGCAGCAATGTTATAATGGTAGCAAGAAAGACTAATAATTAGAGTTCCCCCCACTATAACGGCACAAAACTGGCAACTGCTGATGATTAAAAATAAGAACAGGCAGCAGCGATTTAAACAGTAAGGGCAGCAAAGATAAGATGGCGATGAAGATTACAAAGCTTGCTACGATAGGGTTGGGTTGGCTGTTGTTGCACCGGGAATGATGATGAACTTTCTTAGTGTACAGTACTCGCAGACTGAAACACTGAATTTTTTTTTTTGTAATGACAGCTGTAACCGATCTGTTGCAAACCTGGCACCTAAGGTTTTAATCTTGGCTTTGAACCGAGTGTGCGAGTGAAAATTATGCCAATAATACATGTAATGTGGATGATGGAAATAAAAATATGTGCATTCCTTGACCTTGAATTTTCACATATTGAGACAAGCTTATTACAATAACAATAGCCTTGTTATGCATTGGCAACAACCAACTGCACCTCAATTGTTTGCTGTACACTGTATACTCTTGCAATGAATCACGAAACAACCCACCTGAGGCTAGCCTGAAACACATGGCATTCATTTTCAGAATGGCCCCTTGATAAAGAATTGTAATACTAAATCAATGAGTTTTTCAAACGGCATTTCGTAGTACCATGACAATGCTAAAATAGACTTGGCTCATGTTGAGTTTTGCTAGGCATGTAGAATTTAATTTACCATCCATTGTAAGCAAAGCTTCAGTCCCTAAAGTAATGCACGAAGCATCAAGTCTTTTTGAAACAAGTTTAACTAGCAATGAAAAAAAAGACAACGCGTTTACCAAACAAACGAATGCAAAAAGTGGCAATATGCCTAGCGATATCGAACACCTCCGCAGAAACATGCAAGCATGCATGGCAAAAATGGGTGGGTTCCATTACCAATTCATCGAAGAACTGAAAGTGGAAAGCGAGGAAGAGAGTTTAGTCAAAATAGCATAGTTCAGTCGGGATAGGTAGCAACTCTGCAAGCAAGAGAGCACAAATGGATTTGCAACAGAACACAGAGCAACGGCAGAACTAAATAACAAGCTAGCAGTGTGAATGGTAAAAAGAAGACGAGAGCAAGAAGTAAACGACCTACACCACCCAATGCTCATCAAGAGCAAGTTAGCAAGGCTTTGTGCCTCAAGAATAAAACGGGTAAACTGCCCAAGTGTAAAACTTCTACATTTGATCAAAGCATTTCTCATACATAACATGCAGGAGGCACATAAAACAATTCAGAAAATGACAGGTATTTTTGAAGAAGCATGCAACATATAGTAGTTGCTATTCTCAAAAGGGCACTGAATTCATTTTTTTGTCTTCATTCCGACTACTCATGAAAAGAAATGCTTTATATTGAAGTGTCGCCATAGGAATTCAAAACAATTTATGTTGCTTGCGTTACAAACAACAGTGTCGAGGGCAATTTATGTTGGGTACACGCTCACAAACAGTTAAATAGGCCGCACAGTGCAACGGGCCCTTCCAAATTGTGAAAAGGGCCCAAAGTCAACGATTATGTCGAGATGCATTCTGTTATTAAGCACAAAATTGTTTCATGGAAATAATGAGCATTAAATTATTTGGGACAATGCAACACTTTCCGGCAACATTTCTACTGCTCGAATCTTCACTAAAACACACATGCACAAACAAAAGATGGCAAGCTGAATTCGCAAAACTTTTTTTTTTTTGTACTGCGCATCAAGATGTATCTAACATGCGGACAGTGAGCTCACAAACAGTGTAAAAAAAGATATCAGAATTTTTATAGGTGATGGGAGCTTGCTTATTAACATTCTGTTACGTGTACTCGCGAAATTTTGAACCAAAATGACTGATGAGGACGACTACACTACTTGTCCATGCAATGCCATTCCAGTCTTTGCCTTGATCGTATTCTCAGCTTTCATTGTGTTGCCACGCAGTCAAGCCATCCTAATAAGAGCTATGCTTTTCATGCAAGTAAGTGAAACAAAAGAACTTCATGGAGTTGAAATAACTGGACAATTTGATTAAAAGAAAAGCTCTACGAATAAACAGAAAAACATTTCTGGTAAATTTGGTACAGTTTTATTCGTTTTATGCAAACAGGAAAAGGTTAATGACACAGGCTTTAAACAGAGCAGGTACCCTATATTGTAAATATGTGGTCATTACTTTGGTAACACGGCCACCAGTGCCAATCATTTCATGCAGAAGTGAACCCTTAGAACTTGGTTATATTTGGATGTGCGCTTCTCCAACGAGTGCGGCAATACCGAACTTGGAGCAAACATTTTCCCTTTTGCTGGTTGAATGGCATTGCTCGCTTTCTAGTTGCCTGATTGGCAAGATGGTAAAATGAAGTTGACAAGCCCGGCATTAGATATTGACGCAGTTTCAAAATGTCTAAACAGGGAAACAATACACTCTCTTTCTTGGCATCATTTCCAGAACAAGTTGTACTCTGTGACAACATAGGAAAGAGGTTGGCCCTGCCCACAAAGCTGCGGCTTGCCTGCCCTTCACCTGTGAAAGATAGACAGGCTAGATTGTTTCCGCTTGAACTGTCCCAACTTTTTCTCGACTAATGTAAATACTACGCATAACAAGAGATAAAGGCTTGTCGTTACTGTTTAACCCATTTGGTATCCTTCCTGAGGAACGATGTTGAAATACCAGACAAAATTTGCCAGGACATTCAAGTTCCTAATCTAAAAACAATCGGCAAACACGTCTTTATGGAAAAAAAAGACATCCAATACACTCATGCAGTGTGTGCATTCCCAAACGTCTAACACTATTGGGCAAAGCACTTATGCAAATTCTCTATGGGAGAGAAAGCGATGGCCGAGGGCAGTGCTGGCATTTCCGCTTGGGTTGTAAGAGAGTACAATATGTTAGTGTGTACAGTAATGCAGTAAGACTAGGCTCATCACGCAACAAAGAAGAATTCAGAGGAGGAGGAACGTACGTCACTGTACTCGGACTCCGATGAATACGGTGATGACATCACTGAAAAAGAGAAAAAGCAGCCAAAATTGAGCGCGTTTTCTTACCTTACAAGAAGAGATTCTCAAAAAAGTGCAACCAAACAGTCGTAGAGCATTTTAAGGCACCAGAATCCTTACAAATGCGGCTACTACGCCAAAAATTTATATGGTACTACGTTATTTTCAAGCTAACTGAAATGTGCATTACTCACTGTATTCAGCCGAAGGCTTCTTGTAAACCTCAAATGCACCAGGCTGTCGGAAGACAAGAACAAAAGTGGAATGTTGTACGCTACCACTCCAAAAGATACAGACGCTTGTAAGACTATGTAAGCTTAAAAAAAATATATGTTCAGGGGTTACTTGTGTGATGAACAAAAGTAAGCAAAGAAGCATAATATGCAACCAGAAAACAGCACCGTGGAACAGTGACCACAACAGGGCTTGGCGAAAAGTCTTGCCACAGCTTCTAGTATACTAACTTGCCTTGAAAAATCCCTGCAGCGCTTTCCAGCATTCTCACAAAACTGACCTATTCACTTAAATCATTACAGACAACAACACTTTAGGTATCGGGATAGGAGCATTGCTTCATTTTTCTTGTCGAGCAAGCAAAACAAGATTAAATTATTACAAAAAATTGAGACATTCAAAGCAATTTCACACTGAAGATTTGTTCATGAAATGTTTACTTAAAATTATATTTTAGGATGCCACTGAAAACAACAACTTTGTCTTTAAGTATCGAGAAGTTACAAAGAGCGAAAAGCAATGAAAAGAAAGCTAACATGGCAGTTTCGATTTGAAATAAATGAAGCTGCAAGCATAAAAAGTGCAATTAAAATTCGAGGCATTGAGATCTCCACCTGAAGCTGCTGAACTGGAGCGCTTGCAACATCACTGCGCGATTCGGCAAACTGGTCGAAGTCGGCAAAATCAAATGCTCGAGGAATGTCTCCGGTGAAGCTCTTTGTAGCCTGTAAGTGGACAAAAACATTAACAAGTCAGCTAAGGTCAAGCATGGTCAGAAGATTTTATTTTTTTCAGATGTGACCCTCCTGAAGGAGCAACTGCCTTAGGGCACCTAAAAATTGTGCTGCTGAAACACTTATTTGACAAAGAGTGCGATCTATTCCGATGTGGATAGCTCGACTGCTGAAAGATAAACTCTGAAGCGTGCGCTTCAAAGCATCAGCATTGAATACTGGTTGTTCCCGTGGTTCGCGCGCGCCGTTTCAATGTGTGCCCCTCGCCGGGTAACTAAGAAGCAATGCCAAATAACATCAGTAGCAAAATCATGAGCCAAGAGCCAGGCAACCAAAGAGACGTGGTCCAGCACGTGCTTGGCATGCTAGAACGCCAGCGGCCGAAAGCGGCATTCCCACGGGTTTGACGCGAGTAGGTTGCTGCTCCAAGAAGCCCGAGAACGCTAGAGTCTTCCTTTGATTCCCCTACCTCTTCCCCCTTCATGCTGGATCAACAATAAAGTTGTTTCACTCGCTCACACTTCACTCTTGTCCCTGTTTCCTCATCACGATAAATGGTGCAGATATGCGTCGCATTTTTGACTGTCGTAGCATTTCCTACATGCTGCTTCCAGAGGTCACCTTGAACGTTCAACCGCCAACCAAAACTCTAAAAAACAGCTGTCTAACAAGCGTACAGGTCAAACTGTCCGACTAAAAAAACGAAACAAGGACAACTGGGCGAAGCCTGACACGAAAAACAAGTACCAGGAGATAGTGATGGTGATAGGGCTATCTCGCACATTTGAATAAGGCAGGCAGGTAGAGAAATAAAATGGCGTTCTGATAATGATGATAGTGGTACTTACGGAGCTGGGCATAAAATTTACAGTCACGAGAAACTTTTAAATGCGAAGCAGCTCTTTCACTAGCCTGTGTAACGCTGTCTCTCTGTCCGCACCGCGCTCCCCTGGCCCCAGGTGTTGGAGCGGTGCCAAGTAGGTCACGCCTTTCCTCGCAGTGCGCGCGCGTTGACGTCACTCTCTCCTTAGCCTGTAGCCGCTTACCGCGTGTCATCTCTCTCTCTTCACCCTCTGCACCGCTCGAAACGTTCAATCACTTCACCCTATCCACAGCTCGCAAAACTCGAGCCCACTCCTCACGTGGGCATCAGCTCACCCGTGTTACCTCTCTCCATCTGTTGGCGAGAAGAAGTCCCGAGCTGGCAGGTGCGTGCACTGCACGTGCCTCGGGAATCTAGATAGTGTACCGAGAATCTCGCTTCCCGCTAGTGTACCTTACCGGCTGTTGCCTGCGTTGTGAGGGTTAGTGAAGCCGATTGCGTTCAAGAATGGTGACGTGAACACAAAGGAGGCGCGAGCCAGGGAAGCCGAACGCAAGTGTCGGCAGTGAAAGTCCAGCGACACTGACGAGGTGAGAGTCAAGAACGCCGATCGCATTTCAGATAGAGATGGCACACGGGTAACACTGATGAGACGTAAGCCAAGGAAGCCGAGCGCGTCTTCAACCCGTCCCGCCTCCAGTGTCTCTGCGTTTCAAACAAACGTTTACTCAAGTAACTGCTACATCGAGTTTCGCTTCAAACTGTTTTCCCAGCACACGCCTTGACACCCATTTCAACCGGGTCGACGCCGTGCGCACCGCTCCTGCTTCGCATCCCATAAGGGTTCCCTTCGGGGAAATGGTCCATAGTTTTTTTTTAAATCGCTATTTGTTATTTATATAAGGGGGATAAAATTCGATAAGTTATTCTGTAGCATTCAATATTCTGAAAGTCGTAGTAGTGAAATATGTTTACATTAAACCAATGAACATTTAGAGAAGGATTTTCTAAAAGGCCGTTAAGGGGAGATGCTACTCGAAAAACGATTTTCTTTAATAGGAGTCTGAATTTAACACAAATTGGCATGCTGATAGAGTTTTTTCTCCTCTTTTCAAATATGTCATTTATTTTCATGTAGATTGCTTGGTTTTATTTCTGCAGGTCAGATACTGCAAAATTATGGCCATTGTTATGCAACAATTCTGACCTATAAAAATTTGACATAAAGCATGCAGATATAGCTGACTATGATCCTTTGGAACTGTAGAGTGCAAAAAACTATATAAATTTTGTGTGTAAAAAGGTGAAATACAATAATAAAATAGAAACATTTACTATGGCTCTAGTTGCCAAGGGCTTTCAATGTTATGTAATTTTTGAAAAACATAATCAAGCAGCACTGACAATCTGAATAGATACTGGCACTCTATGGGCCTTCATCATGCTATGTGTAAAATTTCATAGAGGTATGACAATTCTAAGTATACGAACTAGCGTGTATAAGAAGCACAGATCACACAAAACTGCAAAAGGAGAAAAACGCATTTGAAAGTTTGAAACCTTTTTTTTTTATCACAGAGTTGTTAGAAATGCATAATCTTTGGCCATAATGTTCAACAGAACTTTGAAAAGCACTGCAAGTTACTAGAACTGTCCTGCAGCATAAGTTGTGTTCTCACGGTCTTTGCGAGCACTCTCTTCTAGCCGTGCCCTTTTCACTCCACGACGACGGTGGGCCCTTGCTTCTGCTGTCAGACGCTCGGACCTTCTCTTGATGCGCCTCGCATCGCGGGAATCACTGAAGGTAACTAGATCTCTGGATGGCAGTATGTTGAGCTCTTCCAGGATGTGCTCGAAAGTAGCATGACCCTTGTTGAACCACAGGATTGCCATAGCTGCAGCAGTCTCGACAACCATTCGGGAGACAAACTTAGCCTTGGGGCAAAGTAGCCAAATTTTGCTGTTCAGGGATTCCGATGCGTTCTGGGTTTTCCCTTTGATGCATCGAGCAAGGAGCTACTCATCTGTTAGCCGCTTATAAATGGCCAAAACAGCCAATCCCTGTGCTTTTGTCAGGAGAGGTGTGTGGCGTGGTGCAGGTTCACCAAGTGCTTCAGCGCGTTGATGTTTGCACCACGACTCTGTTCCTGCAGGGCAAAACTTGTGGCTGCCAGCATTGTCAGTAGAGCATGAGTGGAAGTACGAAGCCCATACTGCAGTGTCCATATCCCGTACACTCCCCCTGTTGCTTGTTATGGCAATCTGATAGTATGTTTGGAGCTTCTGAATGGCTGGCTCTTTCATTTTCTGCCCTCGTGGTAATGGCACATGCAGCTTCCGTAGCGCGGTGCCAAGTCTCTTGGCCACATGATTAGTGCAGTCTTCTTTTTCTATATTGACAGCACCATAGACTTGACTCTGCAACTGCACTATATGCTTTGCTGTCACCGTCACTCAAGAATGTCATGAAATGCAGTGGGGTGTCATAAGTCAATGTTCTCTGCCAAATGCACATTGCAGCCTCCGTTTCCATGGCATGGGAGGAACAGTCTGCATTTTTTTCACAGACTGGGCCATGGAATGCCTGCCACACTTCCTCGCCTGGGCCCATATCCTTGTGCCTACTGCATGTCAGGCAGTAATTTGATATGACCTCGAAGTCTAAGCAGAGGCCCGTATCTAAGGAGATAACTGCGCCAATCCCGTTGTGGCTTTTGTGGCCCCTCTTCTGCCAAGTGCCGTCGAACATAACAGCCACATCAGTTTCGCCTGCTACTTCTTTCGTCAACTCTCTGGATCGGCGCAAGTTTTCACTCACAGCTGCCATGGCAGCGGTGTGCACCTTCTTTGCTATCGAAAAAAATCCTCGGTGGTGCATTGGCTTTGGGAGTCCAATAATGGAGCAAAATCTCGACAATTGCTCATGCCCAATGCCAACAGCGCGTGCAGCCACCACCGCCTTCACATTTACAGCGAAACTATCTCGGGAGCTCCCACTGTCGTACCGTTGGCTCACTCGGCTGCTGCCGTCCGCAGTAATACGCAGTGACGTATAGGAGCACGAAGAACAGTTGCAGAGCATTCGCTGTTTTCGCAATGAAGTTCGAGGAGCGACGAAAGTCCCTTGCGCTTTTCTGCCGGCTCCCGAACGGCACGTTTTTGAATATCGCAAGCAGGGCATGCCGCACCTGTCACAAGTGCCGTCAGCAAGAGGGTGTCGCACAAAACTGTCGTTGCACAAACCTCATCGCGCTGTCTTTCGTCTTTTTCGAAGAAGCCAAGCTTCTTTTCCGAAGCACTGACGAAAGAAAGCGCAGCGTCAATCCCTTCATCGCAGCCACTGTCGCTCGCGCACTCGTCGATGCCGCCGGCAGGCCTAGCACACGTAGGCGCGTTCTCGTTCGTCGCCGTCGTTCGGGGCGCTTTACGCCGCCTTCCCGTGAACTTGCGCTTCGTTCGAAACTTCTGCGGTCTCACGTTGCACTTTTTCGAGCTTGTCATCGCGGAAATATGCGTAGACGCGCAGAAAAGCAGACGGACCAAATGCCGATGGCCACCACCAACACAGCTGACAATGACTCGGGAGCCAATGGCGATGCGGCTTAGGGTGCCGCGCGTTTCAAACCGCTCAAACCACGTGATAAAAAGGCCTCGTTTTTTATTTTTTTTTGCCCCTGTACGAAACTGGCGGTCGTCGGAGCTGTAAGAAGAAGGCCGGACGCAACTTTCCCAACCGATCGCGATGGCGGGCGGCACTGCGACGGGGAGCAGCGCGCAGTCAAAGATGGCCAATATCGGCGCAAATTCACGAAATTTTGAGCCACCGCGATGCCTTCATACACATTTTTTTGCATTTTGCGGTTCGAATTTAGTTTTGAAATTTTCACAGATGAAAGAAGGTTTGAAGATTACAATGCAATAAAAATCAGAAATACGAGAAATTTTGCTAAAAACGCGATTTTTCGACTCGCATCTCCCCTTAATGTGAAAAAATCGTCATAATACCGTGTTGCCTCAAAGCTTCGAACCAGTACTCTTGCATGCAAATTTCACCTAAAGCCATGGCTCAAGCGAAAAGTGTGTTCTACCACACTGTAGAGTTGTTCCACATTGGAACACACAAAGTATTGCTGTAAAGAAGACTGCAAAGGAGCTACAGTGCCAGGACAAAATAAATGTTCGATAATCATACACACGCAGTCCCTATCACACCACGAAGGCGCCCAGTCAAGTGGCGTTGCAGCGACTCCAGAAATGGTTGTTGTGATCTGAGCCCTCTAAGTCAGTAAAAAGCAAGCACGCCCCCCCCCCCCCCCCCGCCCTCCTCCTCTTCTTTTTTTTTTTTCCTGGATGATAGTGTACTAGTTGGAGAGTACGAAAAATCGCACAATGAATCCTTTTTTTGTTTTTTCCCCATAACAGTTTACCAGAAGACACAAAGTGAAGCCACGGACAGCCAAGTCCTTGCGAACCTAGATACTTACGACTTCCTCTTTATCGTCTTCATTCTCTTGTTGCTCCTGAGGGACGAAATGAGTAAGTCAGGCACTCGATGATGGTCTCAGCAAGCTCACCAGCACATATCACTGCCTCGTGCACACCTCAAAACTGTCTGGCACAATGACTGTAGCTGAACCTCAGTAACAAACTTTGACACAACAGAAAATTGTTAATGCCTTGTTTTCCTAAATCTCAGCAAACTCCCACAAGAGAGAATGAACTGGGAGCTAGGGTGTCGCATAAAGACTGTGGGACCCTTCCTGCATTACATGCCACAAAAGTATGTTCCGAGCCAGCCAAGTGGCCACATGTATTTTCACATAACTTGACTCTGCCCGTCCCGATACTGGTTTCCAAGTTGATTACACAAATTTGCAGAGTTCGTGTTTACAGAGATGGTGATCGGCCACCATGTACTGCCTAGTCATTAACACCTGCACTGTGTGCGGATGTTAACGTGCAATGTTGAATGCTAACAAACAGTGTACAACGGCGAATGTTAACAAGCAGCAGCGTTTACTATAATAACATCACACACATGCGCACTTGCATTTACAAAAAGAGTATTAAAATTTTCGTACATTCCCTGGAGAAATCCTTGGGGGTACAGCCGGTGGGGCTCCCAGACCTTGTGGATTTGCCTTGCCTACAATGAAAGGAAAGCAACAAATACGTTCTCTTCCTTATATGTTGAATTCACATTCGTGCGTGCTTCAAACAGCGAAAGCTGCGAGATGGCAAGTGCTATAAGACTAAGCCATACACATGCGTGCAAGACCCAAAGGTGGTTACAGACAGCAATATAGTCTTCATTCATTTGCAGATTTATCATAAATATGCATAGGTGGCACTGATGGCAATAATAGGTTGAAAAACACAATTCGTCATTTTGTTAAATTACGGGAATGCATAGTAAAAAAAGTACTGTAGTGGCAGTAATGCTTTTAGGACTGTTGTCAGAGCACTGACTACATTAGTCCCTCTACTGCTTGCCGATTCGATCAGCTTCACGAACGTGCCTGCATAAGATAAGCACTGTTGAGAGCCTGCACACAACGTGTTAGGACGGTGATGCAAAAAGAAGCGAACAGTCAAAAGAAGCGCATTAGAAAGCTATAAATAGGACAAACTGTGTCCCCAAGAACAGGGGACGTCTCAAAAAGCGTGTACACACCCAGGCGGTTGAGGTCAAGCGAGGAGCTGCGGGTGTGGTTGCGTTTGGGCCTCGGGGGTGGTGGGGGAGGAGGCTCCTTCTTGGGGGGCAGTTGGCCCTGGGAGCCGGTTGCCACGGCACCCGTTGCCCCCGAGAACGAGCTGCATTACATTATAAACATCAAGACCGACAACTCCTCCTAGACGCCAAGGAGCATACTACATACTTTACATACTCGTACAAGAAGCGAGAAACGACCTCTGTGTCACTTCCACGCATTCTCAAAGGAAACCCTGACCAACACCGCAGCACACATTCACAAGCATAGGCCGGCAAACTTGTTAATGAGTCGACTCGCTTGGACTTACAGTGGGATCGAGCTGTGAGTCTGAGTGACACCAGGCAAGTAATATTTCGAGGAGTTTGAGTCCCAGTTAGTTTGGTTGAAGAAAGATATACGCGAGTCTGAGTGAGTCCAGCTCAGGGAAATTTCGGCGAGCTTGAGTCCATGTGAGCTCCAAGTGTAAAATCCAAAATACAGTCCAACACGGATATATAGAACTTGAAGGAGACCGCGAATTAGTTTAATATACAAAAAATTTGATATAAAAAAATGGAGGCCCCAAGAGCTTACCTGTAGCGGATCATCCCCTACAATAGGTGCATTCAAGAATGACAATAATTTCGCCCGCTTGCAGCATTAGAATAATTTATTTGCGTGAAAGAAAAAAAACGCTAACCTTGGCCTGCTTGTTCATTTTGAAATGTTAAAGACGCTAGTCTCGATCTTATCACAACTCGCGAAACGCATCGTCTATGCGCTCACCGTCGTCATCTTCACCTGTTTCCGCAAGTTCTGCAGTCTCAAAGCCTGCCTTGCGGAAGCAGTTGACCACTGTGTCCCTCTTCACATCTCGCCAGGCATTAAAGATCTTCCCGCGGGAGAAAACTTCGCAGAGATTTCCGGCCATTTCTTCGTCATCCACTACTGGATGTCCTGGCTGCTGACAGCTTCGATTTCACCAGAAATGTTTTTGCCAACGATGCTGTAGCACTGCTTAAATCGGTAAAGCCACCCCTGTTATCGATGAAATTTTTTCACCGAGTACAGCGGCAAAACATTTGGCCTTGGCGATCAGCATCAGGCCATGCACCGGAATGTTCTTCGCGCGCACTTTTAAAAACCAGGCATAGTGTGCCTTTTTTACATTCGCACGCACATGACAGGCTACCGACATTCGCTGCTCCGCCACCTTTGCCTCGATATCTGCCTTGTTCTTCAACAAGATACTCGAGTGTTTTGTGGTATCCCGAAGTCGTCGGCGACAGCCGAACATTTCTCGCCTGCCTCAACACGCTAAATAGCCTTCAACTTCATCGCAAAATCACGGGTCTTGTGCTTCTTGACGCTGGCCATAGCTACACAAGAAGTCTACAATTCAAGGAGTTAGCAGCTGCTTTGCACACCAGGCACGCAAAAGAAAAATGTTGTACATGCGGTGGTACATAGGCGACGCGTCAGTGGAAGCAACAAATCACTCGCGAGGGGATGCAGTGTTGCGATTTTTTTTTTAACACGTGGCACTACACTAAAGTCAGAAAGTCGTTAAATTGTCAGTATAGTTTTAGAAAATGTCACCAAAATATTGCTAACAATCAAATCTACAACTATATTATAATTAAACCCATTTCAAGTCAATTATAAGTCCAACTGTGTTTAAGAGCCCTAAGATGAGAACTAGGATCTGTTATCAAAATTGTGACGACTATGATAGTTTGATCAAAAAAAAGTTGTAGCCAACGCTTTAATTGTTCAACATGTTTTACGCGTTTGTCTGATACTCGGTGGCCTGCTGTGCTAGCAGATTTGAATTCACTTGTTAATTTTCCTTCTGCTCTTCACACATGATCAAAGGGATGAACAAACCTTAATATAAAGATGATCGTTCCGATAGTAAGTGGGCGCGTGCGACACTGCAGTTATTTGATATGCGACAGTCCCTTTTCACAACTCACACACTTAATACGTACATATTGCAGATCGCATGACATATAATCCACATGCGTTGTGATCACATACTTATCGATGCAGTGTTTGGTAGCTCCAGAGTTTTGATTGCAGAGCAAGTACAGCTGACCTTTCCTTCACTCTTTTTGCCTTGGGTGCCAAGTTATCTATTTATCCTAGCATATTTCTGAAAGTTGCACGTCATACTTCCCGCGAATAAACATTTTTATTGTGTTATTTTAAAAAACAGACGGAATGTGCCGACAAACGCCATAAGGTCGAAGGCCATGAGAACTCGCTACCTGGCTTGTTAATCATGGCAGAAAAATGCCACAAGCTATCCGCTCCAGCAATGCTTCATCTAAAATGCGATCTTCCTCGACAGTGTCATCAGCAACCAAACTTGACGGTTCGCTGGCGCTTTTGTAGACTTGAGCACAACGCGTATGACGCACAACTTCTCCTGAGAGTTCATACTCAAAACATGTCTTCTGGTGCCTTTCAAGGCCTGCTCTTATTGTAATGGTTGCATTTGCCATCATGGGAGCCATCCTATTCCGGAGCTTCGTCTTCACCAAGTTGAGTTCCCTGAAAGAGCGCTCAACTTTCGCATTCGATTACGGCATCACAAGCATTGTCAATGCGAATGCGAGCACCAAATGGGTTTTGTCCGCTTTCGTTTTGGTACACATTCACTTCGGTCCACAAGTCATCTGTGGCATTTGTCTTCGACCACGTCACACTTGTAATCACCTTCCACTGGCTCCCAGTTTCTTGGATCTCAGAAGAATCGATAACCATTGTCTCGAGCAGTGGAATAAGTGGTGGCTTTATTGCGCACAACATCTTGACTGACAGCTGTGCTACTTTGCTTAGGGTGTCTACGTTGTCGGGTAGCCTTTGGCGTACTTGCTGCACACGAGAAACAACCAACTTTATACACCGCTTTCGCAGTGCGTCTTCATCCTGGGGAGGAAAACACTTTTTCAGCATTTCCTTAACATGGTTCTCAAAAAGGTAGCCTAGATAAGGCTGAGGATCCAAGTGGTCTTCCACATTTGTGGTTAGAATGGAGATCCTTGTCGTCGAAAGGATGACCTTTTGTATCAGATATACCAGGAGGCACTCAAGATCCTGCAGCAGCTTCGTCTGGTCAGCATCCTTTGCTTCAAATGACTTATTCACTGCTTGAACTTCGGCTAGAACAGGCTTCAAGAAAAGTAGGTATGCCAAGTTGGCATTATCAGCATACACTGCATGAAGCATTTTGGTGTTGTAGCACCTCTCACTTCATCTTGCAATTTCAAAGTGAGTTTTCAGCTCCAGCCACTGGTCAACAGTCCTTGCAACAGCCGGTTCGATAGACAGCCAGCGTGTAAAGCATGCCTGTAGAATCTTTAGAGGGTCTTCTTCGTTATTTAGCGAATTATACAGCCTCTTGTAGGCAAGCTGGCGTGAGGCAGACCTTGCGAACCAGTTGCATGTGTCACTAACAAGGTACTCAAGGCTTCAAGGGAGGCAGTCTGCCACAGCAGCGGAAATGGCCAACTGTAAGAAGTGACAGACGCACCGTACAAGGATCAGATTTGGCACTTCTGCTTTTAACTTCTGATACACCCCATCATTTACTCCCGTCATAACACTTGCATTGTCTGTTGCGACGCCCACCATGTTGTTCAAGTCAATCTTGAACTCCTTTAAAGTGTGCTTGATGCCTTCAACTATATCGTCGGCAGTGCATGCTTGAAGGACACAGAGAAAAAGGAAGCTTGTCACTATTTTCGCTTTCGCTGTGCTTTAGTAGACTATGGCGATAGACGAAAGTTTGCTGACACTCACGTCAGTCGACTTGTCGATGATGAGACTGAACTTGCTGCGTTTAATGTCCACAGCAAGGTCATTCATGAATTGCAAGTAGAGCACAATCTTCAACAAAGAAGCACACTTGGTACGTTTCATACGGTAGTTCTTTGCTGTCCGAAAACGACTTTGTGATCACACCGGACAAATGGTCAACACTCGCAATGCTGCAATGTTCAGCAATGAAAAGTGCTACTGTACCTTCAGCCACGTTTGATGAAGAGGTCGCCGCCCTCGTAAAGGTGATCTGTGACTGCGTCGCTGCCGTGGATGCCGCGGCCGCTTTGTGTTTCTCTGTGAATCGGTGCTTTCAGAGATCGGAGTACTTGGTTTCAAGTTCACATCTGCAATATCTGCACTCAGCAACTTTAGTTCCATCCTAATTTGTCTTGCAAACCAGCCACTTGCATAGGATTGGATCCTTGAGCCATTCATCTCTGAATTAGTGACTATACTTGACTTTCGGCATTTTTGCATTGAAAAATTGAGTGCCACGAGGTCAGAGAAGACGGAAAACTACCAAGATACCGCAGGAAGGGGGTGGCAAGTGCCGAAGCGCACCTTCAAGCTCGCGTAGCGTTCGATATATCTGAAGGCAGGCAAAAATACCGTATGATATACCATATTTACTTGCATAATCCTCGCACTTTTTTTTGGCGGAAAACGAATGCAAAGTTGGGGGGTGCGAGAATTACGCGGGCAAAACTTTCCACAAAAACATACAGAGCGAAAAAGAGAACGAAGTGGCCACAAATCGGGATTCTCACACCAGCAACTAACAGCAAGCTTTGAGAAGCACTAATTAAAATTTACCTCAACAATAAAAGCAGAGGTTCAACACAAGGCAAGATTTATTTTAGACACAAAAAGTGCAAGCAAATAGTTGAGAATTAGAATACCATATGCAAAGCTTGTGGGCGTTGCAGTAAGCGTAGGATGTCAATATTGGGCTGACGGCTATTTAAAAGAATCGTCCGCAGTTTCCTTCCGAAGAAATAAAGTTTACTATCAATCCCAGTCTTAAGCACACGGCAGGCACAACGCGTCTTGGTGGCTTTCAGCTGCCGTCACCAGTAGTGAACACAAAACTCGTAGACTCTGAAGGGCCTACCGGCGGCCCTGTTGCCGTTGTTTAGTGCATGATCAATCACTTTCAACTTGAAAGTAGCCGCGTAGCTTCAGTATCGCCCCATAACGTGACAAGATTACGGACACAACATACAAAACACGCCGAAACGCGCACTTGCCACTTTGGCGTGGCTTGGATTGAATTTCCGTGCAGTTATGGTACGCTTGATGCTTAAGAGATGGCACCAGATGGCGTGCGCTATCATCGTCAACGGCTGGAACGAGCAGACTACATTAGTGCGGCAATTTTCGGGGATGGATAATTACTCGAGTAGAAAAAAAAATCTTATTTTTATTGGGCAATGTGAGAATTATTCGAGTGCGAGGATTATGCGAATAAATACGGTAAACGTACGAATTTCTGTACTTCTACAAAGGAATTTCAAGGGGATAACTTGAGAGTTCAATATACTTGAAAATTCGATATATGTGGGTTCGATATAACCGTGTTCGACTGTATATTTCACGAGTGAGCCTGAGCGACTTCCACGATTTTTGTTGACCTAGAGCCCACAAGGAATGCCCTCTTCCACCGTTTGTTCTGTTTGTTTCATGGAAGCAGAATCTCAGAGAGAGCCACTAAACCTCGAATGCTGTGCTTTAGCTACTTGAAGGCGCTCAAAACTCTGTACGAATGCCCCTTGTTGTGGCACCAAAAACAATAAAAAAAAATCACAGCACATCAATGGAGTGAATGACGATAACTGAGGTGAAGCTTCGGAGGGTTTTATCGATATACTGTGAATCGTCCGTCCGTCCGTCAGTTTGCACCTGCCGAGTGAGTCATCGAACTAGGCGGTACGGCCCACGATGAGCTAGGAGAGACAGACCCACGGCTTTAGGCTTCGACTCTAAAGAGATTCTGCATTTTTGTACTGCACGACGGATAACCTTGCTAACCATCCCAAATTTAAGAGTGTTGCTAACATGAGGGTCATTTTCAAATGTATCTTTTCCTTAACAAAGTTCTGGGTGCGGCAGTGACATGGGTGCGGCTACTACACAAGCATACATAGAACTATGTCATATTCAATGGTGAATTATAACGCAAGCCACTGACTATTTCATCCAAGATCATGCGCCTTGCTTTTGCAAACGGCTCTCGGGCAATAACGATAATAAAAATTCAAATGGCAGCAACAGGCTTTAATTACTATTTTGCTTCGTGTATTGCCAAGTTATCAATCTAAGCAGCACCAATACCAGAGATCCCCCTGCAACAGCGCTGAAAGTTGAAGCTAGGGCCTACTGAACACCTGGAAACCCGATAAAATAGTACTAGCCCCGTTTTTCTTCCACAAAGAAATGTGAAAGCTAAGTCTTACAATTCACGTCTTTTGTTCTTGTAGACCTACTCGTGTCACCAGATGAAGCCCCTGCTGGATGCTGCAATGCTGTCACTGACATTCCCTAGGGTCGTTCTTAGTTAATCTACTGGTATTGGTCTGTGGCACTGTGCAAAGCAGTTAAACACCAGGCAGTAGTGACGATAATAACATAATATCTAGAGCTTCACATTCCAAAACATATGATTACAAGGGATGCTGTGCCAGAAACTCCGGAAATTTCGACCCCCTGGTGTTCTTTGATGTGCCTTACATCAAACGGTACACAAGCATCTAGCATTTTGCCTTCATCACAACTGCCTGCCGTTGCCGGGGCCGAAAGCATGACCTTCGCATCAACATCCAAGCGCTGGAACTGCTACACCACCTCAGCGGACATTAGTGAGGGTAAGTAACATACATTTCTTTGCTCAAGCACCACTAGAGACTTCAGAAATTTCTGGAAGTCTTTCATTGCCGAGAAACAGTCTGTAAAACTGCAAGCAAGAAAATTTTGGTATGAAATGTGGTTTCCCAGAAATACTATCACCTAATTGTAAAGCCACACTAATGAGAAATCTTTCATGTCCTATTTTGCTTCATGGTGCATGCACTGCGAACTCTGCATCGAATGAATTTATGGACTGTGACATAACGTTCCGAGGACAGCACGGAAAAAATCAAGTAGTCATACAATGCAGGCATACCAGGTTTCGCAAACAATTTCTGCCTACTGATCTATGCATGTCTGCAATGCCCAAACTCTGATTGCTTGCTACGAACTATACAATCAAGAGTTCTTACCTTCGTCTCAGATCCCTTGCAAGCATGAACAAATTAAAAAAAGATGTTTTTGCACTCAAGCAGTGTTCATACATTATTGCAAGTTAAAAATGAAATTTTGCCAGAAGAGCAGGTTCTGAACAGAACTCTTTGACTTGCAAGTCTTTTTTCTCCTAAACTGTCAAGCAAAACTCAAATTGCGACAGTGACAAAGATGGCTAATGAGACGAGTATGTCCATCCCAAAACATATATCACTTAACGAATCTGGAACTAGCCTTACTTTTGGATTACACCAACTTTGTTGCCACATGTCCAACAATAATAAGCTTACGCTAGTTTAGATAGCCCATAACATCTTGCGATTCTTAAGGCCTTAAATTAAAAGGGTGCTTTCATATCGAACAGTTCAAACAACGTATCAAAAACCAACAAAAGAAACCTTCAAGCAAACACTAACAGCATAAACTGACCTGTGACATTATTTTTCTCATCAAGGAAAGAAAAAAGGAGCAACAAATATGTAAAAGACGCTAACGGTCAAAGACAAGATAATGCTCGAGCCATCAGCTTCTGAGAATTCAGTACAAAATAAAAAAAATTTAAGTGCAAAGCTACGCTGTATGAGGAACCTACTTTGCAGCATTGTCTCCAGAGACTTCAGTTGTGACAACGTAAGCCAATGTCTGCTGAGGAGCTGTAGGCACAGCAGGGCCTGCAAGACAAACGCGTCCATCAAATACACGTCAAAACATGAAGAGATTCACTTCTACTGTTCCGCTATGAATACAATCAAGTGAGAAAAAAAAAAGAAGATGGCTGAGTTGTCTTAGGCAAATGCATAGAAAAACCGCACAAAATTTTTCTTGCAAGGGGTATGGCAGTAAAAAAATTAGCTGCTCCAGGTGGATAGAGCCATGACATCGCAGGAGAGAACTGGGACATGCTCTAAATAGCTAAACTACCCTTTGCAGTCGAGTTAAAAAATTCCCCACCACTTCAAAAAGAAGGAGCAAACTTCTGGGGAACTTTTAAAAACCTTGAAGTTCAACAAGTCATTAACTGCTCCCGTATTTAACCGATGTAACTAGGTTACAGTATGTTTTGACCATAACTTTACAATGCTCACAAAGGGTACTTTAGCGTAGTGAAACAAATTTGATTCTACAACTCCCCTGAGATTCAACACCTTTCGAAACAATACCATCTCTTTAAGTTCCAGTCACCCAAGAACAACGTAAAAAATATGATACAAACAACCCCTAATAATACAATTGAAATCTTAGTTGATCGTAAGTAAGGTTACTCGAAGTGCTACTTACCAGAAAGCCTTTTCACTATGTTTTTTGGTGCTGCGCCAGACCTGCAGTCACCACACGCATCTGAAACGGAGTTGGAAATCATCATCCTCTTACCTCCTTACAGACAGTGGAAGAAGCGCAGAAAGATAAAATATCTAAACAAGTGAACCCTGCCATCACAGCATATTAAAAGCAATCACAATAGCTATCATTGCTGGGGTGCTATGTCACAAAACCACAAGATGGTTGAGGAAAAACACCTTAGAAGAGGGTTAAAGAATTTTTTACTATCTAATTCTCCTAAATGTGTGCCTAGACCAAAGCACACAAGCCTGCTTTTACATGTGGGGATTGTGGCCAGGATTCAATACAGCGACCTTCAGGTCGTGTCACGCACCACAACCACTAGACCACCGTGGCGGGTACAGAAGCGAAGCGTTGCCCAGCATGCACCAAAACTGCCTGTTGGGGTGCCACTTCTCATCTGGCGGCACACGAAAATCTACTGAGGCACACTTACGCTGTACTTGCTAACGAGCAGGCCACGCGTCCACCTGTTTGTTGACATAAGATTACTGGTTGACAGTGGTTGTACATCAATAATTTTTTATCTGGAATTTTGCTGTGGTTGCCTCTTACTTTAGCACAAAGTTTCTTAAAACTGCATGAATAAGACTGGACAAAAACAGGAACATGGATGCTTTAGATGCTTACACAAAGTGCATCTGTGATCTGTTTTTGTCCTGTTTCTTTTTTTTTGTGCAGTTTAAAATTTTTGCTGAATATATGAATCGACTGGTCCGACCATGTGACTCGCTTATCCTTCCGAGCTCAAACTGCACGAAGCAATACGCACCTGCAGCCAAGCCCACCTTGTCCTGATCGTTGTAGGGGAGAGCACACCCGTCAGGCGACACGCGACGAGCGACAGGGTGCAGAATCCTTGGATCCTGCATGAACCCAAGACAAGAGGAAGAGGTAGAACGAATGGAACCCACCACAACATTAAGTGTACTTCGAAGAAATAATAGGTAAATATAAACATACCATGCAATATTATATTAAACGCACATTTACAATGTCTTTGTAGAATCTACCTTCCCTGCAAGAATTTAAAATAGGCAAGACTGACTACTATGGCTAATATTCGGAGTATGTATCATGATCGTTTGTTTTACTTTAAAGCACAGTTTATAATATTGGATCACTTGTTTATGCACTCGCATACTTCTGAAAAAATAAGAAAGAATAAGCAAAAGCAAACGTAAATGAAATGATCAACTGTGAGTGCTGATGGGGAAAATATTACCATCAGTAGGTTATTGGCAATTCAATCATGCCATTTTGTTGCTTATTACACGAACAAACCACGAGTACTTAACGACATCCAATCCTTACTTAGGCAACATATATGCGTGTTTGCCTCCACATATATTCCTAGGTTCGCTTGTTGCTGCCAATTATCAAAGAACTTCAATTTAGTACTTTCGAATAAGCTTACTCGAGTGCTGCACTATGTTCACAACGTTCATGTCTCGCATAAATGGCTAACGACTGGTCTTACAGAGCTTCTGGTGTACAGACCCATAACTAATTGGGCACATCGAAAGAACAAATTAATGAAGCTCACGTGAAATTGGGCTCCATATATGCAAACGCACCTAGCAAAATATCGTAAGTGCACTTAATACAACTCAGCCACACAACAGAAGAGCAGGCACAGGCAGCAAATGCGAACCTACTTGCCAAGACTTGACACCGTCCCCAGTGAGCATGCAAGTGCAAACAGTCGTGAACGACAAAAGCACTGTGCCTAGTCACCCACGCACGTTTGTAACACTCGTTTTGAACACATACACACACGCACACACATAATAATAGCAACAGAAAAAGATGCCAGGATACGTTAATTAGTTAACCGAAAGTGGATATCCTAAAACTGTCAAGGGAAACCTGAAATAGTCTTAATATTTTGCAAGCCTTCTGAGCCCATAGTATAGGTACCTTGGATTTTTGAAAGGCCGGTTCAAGTGCTCTGCGTAAAGTATGCATGCCCTTTGTGATTTACGGGCTTAGTTCTAATTGCTTGGCAAAAGAGCTCAGAAAAATCACACCTTGAAAGGCGGGTAGCCTCTAATTGCCTGTAGCTTCCTTCATGTGAGACAATTCCTTCAAGAAGTAAGGTGAATTTTTGTAACCCAACCACTTGCAAATTGAAGGGACACTAAAGGCAACTATTAAGTTGATGTTGATTGTTAAAATAGCGGTCCGGAAACCTTGTAGTGATAGTTTTCTGCCAAGGAGGTGCTTCTTTTGAAATAAAATCATGTTTCAGTGGTTCGCATCGTGTTAGCGCACTTCAAATTACCCGCCTTAAGTAAAACGTCTCGCGTCACTGTTGCCGTGCGCAACGTTGCCTGGCATTAGTAAGCGGCCACCTAAACTAGTAGCAGCAAAACGAAAGCAGCGGGAGCCACGGCAGCAACAACAGCCACTGAACAATTTCTTGCCAATGGCTCCATGATGGTAAACGTGCCTAGTTAAAATGGACCCTGCTAGATGGCACGACCTGTTAGGTTTAACCAGGCGAAAATTGAACTTTTGAACCAGTCGCGCCATTCCCTATAGTAACGTCCGGCGGTTATTTTTTCCATCAATCAAACAGAAATGAACAAGCAGCATTTTATTATGTCTCTTGATGCATGAAAGGTTCCTTATTTAGTGGAGCTAGTTCAATTACTAGTGAGTAATTCTAGGCTGCAACTCTGACCCCATCGAGATCATTTTGCGAATGTCCTACTGCGACGCATATGTTCCCGTGCATTTACCTTCATTTCTATTGCTGTTTCAGACGTCATACATTGAGCTTTCACTCTCACATAAATTGTTATTGAATTTTAGTGTCCCTGAGAGAGAGGAAAAAAAAAAGGCTATTTCAGGGACCCTATAAAGCTTTTCTTCCAGCAAAAATATATGGGAACATAAAGCCGGTACGTACAGCCAAATCAAAAGGCATGCACACAGTGAAATTTTATGTGACAGTAACTAAGGTAATATTTCTCGTACAATCACTTGCACTAATATGCATAACTGCTTGGTGTTGGGTGCATATGCAAACCAAGTCCAGTGCCACTGCTGATCGTGCAAGTGCACGACAATAAAGTTCAGGAGACCGCCCATTATATGTGTGATGCATAGCACCTTGATGCAGCAAAAGAAACATAAAAGATATAGAAGAAAAAAAAAAGTCAAGAGCGATAATTGTCACACTTGGCTGCTGCATTTAAACATTTGTCACTTGGAGGTAACTGGCAACTATGCATTACTTTTTAACTATAACCCCAGAGTCCACCAGCTAACACTTTCCAACTATTTTAACTACAAATCGATGTCATGTCAATGCCAGTGAAGCAAAATCAAATTATATTCTTAAAACTCATTCAAAAGGCACTTCGTAAGCTACTTGAGAACAATCACTAGCCCATCCTGATAATGAATGCATAATTATTGAGAGCCTTGCCATCTATTATGCCCTAGTTGTGAATAACAAAAAGCTTGGCTTGCTGGTAAGGATTTATGACAAAAAGAATAAAGGTAGAGCCTGCAGACCCTGGATACGACATTTTTGCATTCCGTACATATCTTCTACTGTCTGTATGCATTAGCTTCTTCCACAAGTGCCAGTCCACAGGGCACAATCATGAGCACAAGTTTGGAGAGGAAGTTTCGCTGGCGAGAACTGGTTTCCTCGTCAGCCTCAGCCTACTGGATTAAACGATTCAACACGTAGTTACTAAACAGACACTGAGCACACACACAAAATCTGTGCAAACACATCCTGAACTCGCACGACACACATTGCAGCTATTTCAAACAGTGGAGCTTTAAGTAGACTCCTCTCCCAATCGCCAGTGCACTTAATTCAAAACCCAGCAGCTAAGTTCAAGACAACAGTTTTGCATAATAGAAAAGAACGAGACAAAAACATGCGTGACACTGCAACGCTCATCGCAAATTACTTGCAAGGCATTCACGATAACAAGTGTAGTGCAATGCCCCCCCCCCCCCCCTGCAAACCCCCTCTAGAAGCCAATAAAGAAGCACAGAAGCAGCAACCTGTTCAACAGAGGCCGTGGAGAAATCGAAATTCACCGGCTTCATGCTGGGAGATGACACAGTGCTAGTAGGGGAGTCGCTGAACTTGGTCCACTGCCGGGGAAGGAGGAGGGAGGGAGACAAAAAGCACTGTTTGCCATGCTAGCCAACACACACGCACGCATATTAAATGCAGTTATCTCAAGAACCGGTTAAAAGAACACCAAAGGCACACACTGCACTTGGCTCGAGCGATGAATTGTAATACAAACATTTTTTCCCTCACTTTGTGGTCACCCAAAAAATTTTCAATTTTTTTTTCTAACACATAACAGAAAAAGTCAACTATTTTGGTAGCATTCGGTAAAAAAATTTAACCCTGAGAGCTAACGCATAGAACCCAAATGTAAACAGAAAAAAAAAGGTTGGAAAGCTGGGTGAAGTCTGCCTACAAATGAAAAAAATTATTCCACAAACTATGTGCTTCAAGCACACATGTAACAGAAGAGATAATATGAATGGCCATTTCCTTAATTAGCGGAATTTCACATTTTCTCCAATGTCGCTAAATCCCTTTGTATAATGATTTTAAGAACCTAAAATGAAATATGAACAATTAGTAGGAATGAGCGACCTAATATACTACATTAATGAGCAAGATGCAATAGCAACCAATTCAACGAGGTTAACTTCACAACACAACATGAAGTGCTAAGTGCAAGGTACGTGCTCATTTACACGACAAAAATTCAAGGGTTTTCAAGGACTTTCAAGGCTATGGGCACAAATTTTCAAGGAACACATTGTCTGTTCCTTGAAAACATGTGCGCAGAAGAGGATAAAGACTTGAAGTAAATAGAATTCATCGAAAAAGAGTAACATCCCTGGAAGAGACGTCAAACACAGGGTTCCAATGATATTTTCTTTCTAGACAACTTTAAATTATAGTTTCTTAAACTTGCCTGGGTACTCATCATTTTCAGCATGACACAAGTTGCAAACTTTTATTTGAAAAGGAAAAACTAAGGAACAGTTCTTAAGCAACACCTTGTTGCTCTTTCCGAATTTTCATATCAATATCCACCGTCTCCTGCTGCCTGGTCTAGGTAGTCTTTCTAAGGCTGCTCGACTTGATGATGCATGTCAGGTCGCTAACTGTCTCCGCATTTTCTGAAAGTTCTAGTTTCTTTTCCTTTTTTGGATTTTGACCCCCCCCCCTGAATGCAACATTTATTTTTTATGTTTCCCATCTTCCCCCTCCTGCCTTTCTTCAGAATAAAGAAATTCACAATGTTGGTTCCGTTCAGAAGCTACTGATGTTCTCAATTCTTTTGTCATGGGCAAATTACATATGCCACCTGCTACTTTTACGGCATCACAAATATAATGCTGTGAAATGTGTGACAATGTTTATTAAAAATAAATATGCAAGAATTTTCAAAATTTCCAAAAAATCCAGCACTTTCAAGGCCTTGAAAACGAAATGTTCAAATTCAAACACCCGCATGAACCCGGCAAGTGGCTGGCAGGCACTGCAGCAAAACAAGCTCAAAAGGAAACATCCTTGCTGGCACAATAGCTACGAAATATAGATTACTATAAAAACACACACTTCGAGTTAAATATTAGCATCTGTTATGCAAAATAATTACATGCAAGTCTCGTGCTGGAACGTTTTCAGCTTGGTTGGCCATGCTATGACCTAAATGTGCAATGTGATCCATCAATACCAAAGCTGTACAACAATGGCTAATTTCCTGTTTGATTAACAATGTTATAATTATCATGGTAGCAAAAGAAATGTGTCAAATGGAGCGGTACTGACAGAAAAAAATGAAAGCAAAACCAACCAATGTGCACTGGGCATGATGCAGAGTAAAATTGAGGTATCCCAAGGCATGTTTTACCGTGCATGCTCAACAGCATGATCATCAGTGTACATTACGTCTACCAAAAGATGCGATCTCAAAAGAGAAATTTCTCATTCCGCTGGCTATCTTGCATACCGGCAAGTTTCCCATTGTCATACAACTTAAAGCTCCACTGACATAAGAGGCACTTATCTTCTGTTGGCACCAGTTCTGTTCAACTATTCAGTGTGTGGAATGTCAACTGCACTCCTTTCGGACCTCTTGCCTATTTCGTTTTGTCCCACTTAGATCAGTCTACAACTGCTTGCATACTCTAAACTGTGCTAAATATTTCCCCAGAGAAAAAATGTCAATGCTAACACAACGCAGTAGATGCACATAGGCACTTATTTCAAAATTAATGGCAACTTGCCTTCATCTCCCTTAACAACTTGCCAATCCAATTTTATTTGAGGATTTCACCTTCCCTAGGCATGTCTTCTGTATGACAACCTAGATGAAAACTGATTCATGGCATCAAGAGGCTAATTTGTGCCACTGTACCTTATGTCCAGAGATTGCCAAGAAAAAAAAAAAGCACACGTTTTAGAGAGTCTTAAGTAGACGATGCGCGGCAATCACTGCAGACAAGAGTTTTCGTTATGTGCAAATCCATGCGATGGTGACGAAAATGCAGGCTCACTTCTTTGTTCTGAGGCGAGAGTGGTTCTTTCGAAGCAGGTGGCGTGTGGCTTTTGGGGCTGGCTATGCGGGCCGGCTGGGCGACGGGATGCGGTGGCATCTGGTAAGCTGTTCCATCCACGACTACAATGCGTTAAAAAAAAAAAAAAAACAGAATGAGCACCTGCCCCAAATTTCTCCCACACTGGTAGCTAGTACGTGAAGTGCTCACAAATTGAAACACGATAATTCAGGGCTAAGTGATGCAGATACTTTTATTTCCACAATCTTCGGGATAGGCATGTGTGCACGAGGGCAAGCGGACACTCCCCCCCCCCCCCCACCCGATCACATAAGAGCTGGGGGGGGGGGGGGGGGCAGAGTCAGCTTACCCACACTGACATATAGAGAGAGGGGTGCTGGGACTTAGACAGCTCTATACATTAAAATAATAGGGAGGGAGGGCACATCATGAACCTTCACCACCCCGTAAGGAAACACTGCACAGGCTGCCTTTGGTCTTCACTACTTGTTCTATAGACATAACTTCAACTTGAACAATTACATTTGAAACTTGATTTAACACAGTGATGATGGCATTAGAATTATTTCGTTAAATGGGGAAGTTCATATTATCGAGGAGGCAATTCTTGAGTCTTTCAAGATTTAAAATTGTTAACGTAACGTCACCAGAAAGCCATTACGGCCTTTAATTTGTCGCTAATGCCTGTTTACATGTGTAAAATGTCTGCGACAGTGGCCCAAGCATAGAATCTTTTCATGTCCAATGCTATCGGCGAGGTAGACAGCTAAGTGTTGAAACAAAAAGTTGCCCATATTCAAAGATGGAGAGCGAATGCAGCAAATGTGCGAGGAGGTAGAACAGTAAAGTATAAGACGACAATCTGTGCCATCTGTCGCACATCCCATCGCATAACGAAAGCAACCACCACCTTACAGTGTTAGTTGCCCCCCCCAATTGGTGCATATGCTTAATTATGATTTACAACTACGGCACTATCGCATCAAACCGAACTTTGTTTTAGGTTTTCTGCCATGTTTGGAATGTGCGCGGCGGTGCCCATGCCTTACCGTCCACTCCTTTGCTGGCAGGAACCTTGGGAATCAGACAAGGTGGAAGGGTCTCTGGAAGCTCAATGTTGTTTCTTCGTAGAACTACCAGATGCATGGCAGTGCAGAACTCCTCGATGCTTAGCGCACCGTCCTTGTCCACATCAGAAAGTTGCCTGCGCCCAGACATGGTTTCTCAGCCATGCATCGCATATGCAGGAGCCAAAGGATGCAAGGGTAACATTATTAGGCAAAGTTTCACACAGAAGAGCTGTTGTGCTTCTCGCTACACTGCGACACATTCATGTATACGGTCACATGAATGCCTATAGATTACCTTCAAATGAATGTTATCGACCTTTCTTGTGCATGCCACGCAATTGCGCATGCCACGCAATTACCCGACCAGCGCGTGCGCTCTCTGTTCTCTTCCGTTTTGCTCCCCAAACATGTGTACCCGGAGTACTCTCGCTACGTCGACTTGTCCAGCGTGCAATGCAATGACTCTGACGGAGGAGAAAGTGAGTAAAGGCTGGCTTCAAACCCGTTTACCCACGAACCAAAGGCGAGCATCACAACCACTTGCTTATCTTACTGACATGCTTTGGCTGCAAATAACACACACTTTGGCCGCAATAACACACACAGTGTGTGTGTTATTTGCGACCAAAGCATGTCAGTAAGCAAGTACCAACTAGGCCAATAATCAGTATTGTTACACTTGCTTATCCAGGCACGCTAGCAGGGCACCACATAGCCTTGTATAGTACAATAGAACCTCGATACGTTTTTGAAAAGAAAGCAGAAAGTAAACGTACAATCCGGGATAACGTACAATCTTAATCCAGCAAAAAATAAGGCTGACAAGTTCATATGAAGATGTAAAAGCAAAAAATAATTTCTCGAAAAAAAAAGAAGAAAAGAAACATCGTAATTTGCTGCTGCTGCCTCTCACCTTTGGACAAGAAAAGTTCTTTCTGCACACATTGCACATCCTTGTCTGCATTTTCATTGTTTTTCCTGCAAAAAGAAGCTTTGCAAACCTTCCAGTCCAGCAAGAGCTTCAGCAAAATTATCCAGCCAGTGCACGCTTTCATTCTTGCAGCTGTCTTGCGGTGCCCCCCCCCTCGCTGTGTCGCCCCCCACAACCTCTGCGACAATCTCTGCAACACTTTGCGGCTCGCAAATCGGGACATTGCCGTCTATCAAAACGAAATCGGCGAAGAATGCATCGGCGCCAGTGTAATGAAACTCCTCATCGATGTCCTCGACGATGTCAGACGGACACGTCACAGGCTTGTCTTCGCTGCGCTCTGTGTCCTCTGATGCAAGATGCCACTGAAAACCACACTTCCTGAAACAGCTGATCCTTGAGCACGCTTGCATCAAAGTAAATTTCCGAGGCCCGTGCTTGCTTAAACCACTTCAATAGCGCCTCTTCCAGCTCGCCATAGCAAGCTCCACGGGCTTGCTTTGTTGCGCCATCGAATACCAAAGAATTCATCTCAATCTCTTTCCGCTTCAAAACCACAGTATTCACAGTAGATGCTGACAGTCCAAGCTCGGTCGTTATGTCTATACGCTTCTTCGACGCCATGCTAGTCGCTACTGTCTCGAATCGTGAACTATGTACACTGAGCAGCGTGCAGTGCAGCCTCACACAGGGCCCGGCCAGATATAACATGGGGCGGCCTGCATATCTCAACCGTTCGGCATTGGTGTCAGAGTGGAGAGTGATCTCCATTGGCTGTGATAACAGTCACATCGTCATCGGAGTTATAAACCACGCGCGCCACTGGTTGAGTTGCGAGTTAATGTTGTTGCTGCCAGAGCCCAGAGCCCACGCGCTGTGGAAAACCTCTACATGAGTAGGCCATGAACAACTATCGCAGAGTGCCCAGAGTTGACAGGTAAGAGAGCTCTCACTCGCCGGGCCGATGGTGCAGTACGGGCATGAGAACAAGCCCCGGAGGCTGAGTGCCAGCAGCAACTACCGTATTTACGAGCGTAATCCTCGCACTTGCATAATTCTCGCACCCCCCACATCGCCCCCCAAAAAAATATGTTTTTTTTTCCTCGAGAAATTATCGCACCCCCGAAAACTGCCGCAATAATGTCGTCTGCTCGTTTCAGCCATTGATGATGATAGCGCGCACCATCTGGCGCCATCTCTTAAGCATCAAGCGTACTATTGCGCTGAGATCCAATCCAATCCAAGCCAAGCCGAAGTGACCAGTGCGCGCTGCGGCGTGTTTTGTGTGTTGTGTCGGTAATCTTGGCACGTTATGGGGCGATACTGAAGCCACACAGCTGCTTCAAGTTGCAAGTTATAGATCATGCGCTAAACAACGGCAACAGGGCCGCCGGTAGGCCCTTCGGAGCCTACGAAGTTTGTGTTCGCTACTGGTGACGGCAGCTGAAAGCCACCAAGACGCCTTGGGCCTGCCGTGTGCCTAAAACTGGGATTGATGGTAAACTTTATTTCTTCAGAAGGGAACTGCGGACGATTCTGTTAAATAGCCATCAGCCCAATACTGATGTCCTACGCTTACTTTTTGAGGGCTCCTGTTGAGCGCCGACCGCTACCGCTACGCCTGCAGCGCCCACAAGCTTCGCGTATGGTATTCTAATTCTCGACTATTTGCTTCCACTTTTTGTGTCTCAAATAAATTTTGCCTTGTGTTGAACCTCTGCTTTTATTGTTGAGGTAAGTTCTAATTAGTACTTCTTAAAGCTTGCTGTAAGGTGCTTTTGTGAGAATTCCGATTTGCGGCCACTTCGTTTTCTTTTTTGCTCTGCGTTTTTCATAGAAAGTTTTCGCCGCATAATTCTCGCACCCCCCAACTTTGCATCGGTTTTCTGGCAAAAAAAAAGTGCGAGGATTATGAGAGTAAATACGGTACGTGCCGTTGATGCGGCAGCTCTACAGGCCACGGTACATCGCGAAAACCATTGTGCTACAGAAAATAACAGGCATTTTGCAAAAACTGTTTGAAACTTTGATGGCTCAGACAGGCCAGTGTCGGAGAGGGGCGACAATTGCATGAAGCAAAATAACCGCCGTCGCCTAGCGATGGCCGTCTGCTATTTGGCGCTTCACAAGCACGCGAGAGCAGTTTTTTTTTGCACACCTGAATGAGAATTTTTGTCCCCAGAACGCATAATACAATCGCAGTTTGCCGCAAACGTTGCTGCTGAATAATCATGTTTTCAAAAAACGTATTAAGCGGAACATACAAACACATAGCTCTATGGGTGAATATTTAGTTTTCGTGATTTCGAGCGTAGGAGCCGGAAAATCATATTAAGTGGGAACGTATCAATGAGGTTCTACTGTACTACAGTTGAGAAAGTTGAGTGGGAAAGGAGAAGTCAGGGCGAGAAGGAAGGAGAGCATATCATGGCTTTAACATTAAAAAATAGAGAAAAAGGAAAAAAAACTAGAAGAGAGAGAGAAAGATACAGACAGAAACTAAAGGAAGCCTCTAACACAGAGAGAAATGGAAGAGAAGTAAAGAGAAAAAACACAAAGAAGAGGGAAAAAGAAAGAGAAGAAAAAGGGCCTCCCAGCTTTGCACTTCCTTCATGCTTGGCATCAACAGTGCCTAGCTGCCTACCGTAAAAAATGAAATATAGGTGGAATGTTCTTTCCAAAATACGCAATGAAAAGTGCCCCGACCCTCGTCTTATATACCGGTCACTGGCAGGTAGGTAGGTAATCAACTTTATTGATTCACGAAGGAATCATTTGAGGGGGGGTGTGGTTGGGGAAGTGGAATCAGGATGACGACGAGCCCTCGGGCCGCTCTAGGTGGCCAGACACTGCTGTGCTTCGGCGACCCTTCTGGCCCAGCTCACCGTCCGGAGCTGTAAACCCGGTTGCGAGCTGCGCAGAGCAGCCTCCCATCGCTCCTGTGTTCTGACCCTTGCCACGGAGGCTTGGGTTTGTTTGGACAATTCAGAAATATGTGCTGGAAGTCGGCTCTGGTGCTAGGACATAAGTTGCAATGAGGCGAGGTTTCGCCATGTGTAAAAAGGGAGAGAAGAAAAAGAGTCGTTACTGTGGCCGTTTGAAGTCTGCGCCACAAAGCCTGGTCACTTCTGGAGAGAGATTTATGTGGCGGGGGATACGTTAGGCGGGAATTTCGGTAAAATAGCGTGATATCGTGATAGCTGAGGAGTCGATCCCTGGCACTTCGAAGCGAAGGCAGGTCGCTGTGAGCCCGGTTGGCGAGTGCTCGGGCTTGGGTGTGAGCGGCCGTGTTGCCTGGGTGTCCACAGTGCGCAGGGACCCAGAGGAGGGTGATGAGGCGATCAGGCGGAAGAGATGATTCAAGAATTTTAGCAGCCAGAGAATGAATTCGGAAAGTGGCGAAATTACGAATTGCAGTTTTTGAATCAGAAAAAATATACTCAGCGGAGGAGTGAACAATGGCTAAAGCAATTGCCGCCTCCTCTGCTTCCAGGGATTCTGTCGAATTTGGAAGGGACGCACTAGCGACCAGTTTTTGAAATCCATCTACGACGGCTACCGCGAAAGCTCGATGATCTACATATTCGGCCGCGTCTACATAGACTGCGGGAGAATTAGGAGGGAAGCGCTTCTCAAGGGACTTGGCTCGAGCTTCCCGTCGCGCCCGATTATGTTCTGGGTGAGTATTTTTGGGGAGTGGCGGGATTAATAGGTTGCTGCTAACAGTGACGGGAACTGCGTGCGTGGCCGTGGTGTGACCAGGAACGTTGATTCCAAGTCGGTGCAGGCGTACCAGTCCTGTTTCTGTGAGTGATAGTCTTTGATATTGGCTGAAAAGATGCGCCTCTACGAGCTCTCCCAGAGTGTTGTGCACCCCAAGTTGAAGTAGTTTATCCGTGGCTGTTGATTTAGGGAGATGGAGCGCAGTTTTATAGGCATTACGAATGAGTCTGTTAAGTTGCTCGATCTCCGTAAGTGAGAGATAGAGGTAGGGGATAGAATAGGTAATTCCGCATAGGCAAAAGGCCTGTATGAGGCGGCGTGTGTCTGCTTCCCTCATGCCGCGATGACGATTGGATATGCGCTTAATGAGGGAAGCTGTATTTTGAACTGAGGTGCGGATTAACTTTATGGTGTCAGCGTTCGAGCCATTGTCGGAAATATTAAGGCCTAAAATATTGATTTTATTCACCCTGCGAATAGGGGTGTCATCAAGCATGACTTGAATGTTACATGTATCTTGCTTTCCGGTCACTGGCAGCAAAAAATGTGGAAGTCTCGCAGCGATGGGCAGCTGAAGTCGAAAGCTTCCATTGCCATTGTGAGCACCACCAGCGGCGCCGTTGGGCACGGCTAGGCAAGGCCTGTTTTAGTAACGCCATTTTGCCTCAGTTATTAGTTGTCAGTCTGTCTTCTTTTTTCTATTTACTTCAAAAGTGAGTGGCAGACGACTGCAGTTTACGATATGCTACGTATAAGAAAAAAAGTTTTCGAGCATGCCGAAGCGCACGGCAACCTGGCGGCACAACGGGAATTCGGTGCAGAAAAGTATCCGATACTGGAGTAGCCAAAAGCAGCACATCACATCCTGCAGCAACCAAAAAAAAAAATGCACCCTGAACTGGAAACGCTACTCGCCAAATTTGTCCAGGAGCTGCGTGCAAGGTGGCTAATCGTGATGGGGGAGTGCATCCACGTAAAAGCTCTCGAGATGGCGCATGGCTTTGGGCTCAAGGGTGAGCCAATTTATGAAGTGAAAGGGCTTTGCGCTGAGGTGGCGTACTTCTGTCTTTCTGCAAATGCCAGATCAGTAATGCATTGCATGGAATGGAGCACAATGCACTCTGGGACGTTACTAGTAAAAAACGCAAATGTTGTGGGACTCAAGTTTGGATGAGTCATAGTTACAGCACTTTGAGGTCTTCTGGCATTACATAAGATAAGCGTCCAAATAAAAAGAAATGTCATGACATCACAGCTTGTGTCTCGTATTTACTAAGGTAAGGGTGCACCGCAATACTTTGCATTTTTGAAAAATATCTTTTTTGGAGACTCCAAGTTTGGGGAGGGGGGGGAATCGGTATTCTGATCAGACATATCCCGGTTCTTACGGTAGATGAAGATGTAACAGGCTACAAATGTGAACAAAGTCCACATTTTCAAAAGGATGGGTGAAAATATACCGGTGTGTACCTAGCATTCCTTCAATGTTTTTTCTAGTTGTTGAGGCCCTGCTTATAAATTTGGCTAGGTATTTTTTGGTGGTAAATCACGAGAAAAGATACTGTGCAACGCTCCAAAGTTCACTTACCATATCTTGGATAGCTCGTGAACAGGAAGCTTGGACTTCTCAAAGAACTCCTTGGCGATAGCACCTGAAAAACATTCGCGAACCCCATCTTTTACTCTGTTACAAAATCGATGCATACAATATTGGGGAATAAATTTAGTTAATATATAAGGGCCATTTAAACAGCCAATAATAAGGCTCAGACGTTTTTTTTTTAACGCTCCCACTATGAAGCTTGCCAATTCGTGAAGTGGACCGCGGCATCATGTTTTCCGAATATTACTGCGCCACGCCTTGATTACCGAAAACCATTCCCCTGCTTCTTTCCTACGCCTGATCAATTCTCCTTTCACGCGCAGTGAAGCAAAGTCGCCGATTGGCGACTTGAAGTAGTACGAAGCTTGTCGATTGGTCTAAACCAGTCACAAAGACGAGATACGCCTTCCTCTCCCTGCCAGGGAGAAAGGTGGCGAGGCCGCTAGAAAATTTGAAACCAGCTGCAACCGATGTTCTAAACCCTGTAAATTCCTTATTATAGCACGCACTTGGAAAATTCTTGCGGCAGCATGTTCACAAAGCAAAGATTCACAAATTTCTTTTTATAAACATTTTTGAACCTCAAGGTTGTTTACTGGCCCTTTAAGTGTCACGATACTGAAAATTTAACGAGTTAACTATAAGAGCAGGTTGTTTTTTGTGACCAGGTAAGATAATTGCGACACTTGAAAAACCCGATATAAACCTTCTGCTTCTTTCGACGTGGCCTCTGAGATCCACTACAACATCGCGACACAACACAAAGTTGAGCCCAGGCATTCATGTGCCTGTGCACATGAATGCTGAGGTGAGAGTGCTGCCACCAGACACCTATGCCGAGAATTACGGTGTCCCCGAATTTCTCGCAGAGGGACGAACCAGTGATCTTTCCCCGCAGGTCGGGCTGCATGAGCTGGAACTGGTTGGTGTAGTAGTCTCGCTGGTCGTCCGCGATGCTCCAGACGTCGTGTTCTTCGTCACTCGAATGCCGGTCGCTGCTGTCCTCCTCGTTGCCCAGTAGCTGCCGGTGCTCCTCAAAGTGGCTCCAGTTTAGCTGCCCATCACCTGCGAGCACATGTCGGGCGGGCCTTTCATTATTACAACAGAGCACTTGTACTGCAGTAAAATGGCAACTTGGGCGAGTTATCGGTCGTATTTCAATATGAGAGGGTGCTTGGTTCATGGTTCTTGCTGGTTGTCCATGAGCCTGCATTCTACTGAAAACTCTAATTCTAATTTTTTGCAGTAGAAGAAGAACTTCATTCTGATAGCTTGCATAGAACAAAACTATGTTGAGGTTTTATTGGATCTAGCGCACCTCCTGCATGCCAGACCAAAGGATGGCCACCCTCTACAGTGATAATGCGTGCCCAGTTCGCAGCCTACGTGTACTTACACCAATATTATTTCGTTGTAAAGACTATGCGAAGCACCGCGAGAGGATGTTTTTGATGACCTTGCCAAACACTGTCAGGCGCAACATACCGTCACCGACCAATTTTCCAGACCTGGCGGGGACCGCGAAATAGTTCGAAAAAAATGGTCAAGCCATCAAAACGAAGTTTATTTGGATTATAAAAGCCTAAAGAAATCCAAAATAATGCCATGCTTCATGCTGTTCTTGGGTACGAGCAAATTCGGTTCTATTTGTGCTACAGTAACTTCCCTGGCAAGCACATTGGTAATCCCTGCAGCCGAACCTTGCGGGCACCAAAGTTGTTGGCTCCACCAAACCAGGCTAACAAAACTTAATACCAATAGCAAAAAGATGCATGCCTTTTGTACCTGCACTGACAACACACAGTGCATGAGCCTCCAGCATTTCACCCCCATCACAACAAACCCCGGCAGCCCCAATCAAACCCACGAGTTGCAGGTCAGTAGCAGAGTTTCATGACCATCTCCAGAGTTCTACTGCAACCGAACAGCAGCGAGCGTGTGACGCGCACATTGGCTCAAACACATTTGGCACTAACATGACCACATGCATAATAACGACCAGAAAAAAAAAGGCTCAGAAAATAAAAACAACCTGTTGGGATATAATGATGAAGATAAGGCTGATTGAAAAAGTTGAGTTTCACCGTTTTGCTAGCCAAGAAAGATCAGACATGGCCCCTGAAATTGGACGATTGTGTGCGCTTCCAATCTTGGAGGCCACACAACTAGCCACCGCAAGCCAAACTGGACCAAGAAAACGAAAAATTCAACATGGCGGCTTCCGAAATCGAGCACAAATCAACAGGCATAGCTCAAAACAGATGATTTAGATTGAAAAATGAAACTTTGAAACCTAAATTCATGCAAAAAAATGACTGCGAAAATGCATTAGTGCAATGGGAACCTTGACGGCGAGTTTGTGAAATTCAAAATACCAAAGAAGTTAGAATTTTCGAAGTCCGAAAAATCCGTCGGCAACATTAGTACAGCTTACATACCTAATTCACGCCAAGGAAGCATTATCCGTAACTGCCGGCTTCCATTATGAGCAGGTGGGCAGTTATGGGGGTGCTTTCTCACTGTACGTGTCCCTTGCACCCCGTGGAATAGATACGGGGACCTTCAACCATGTAGTGCAACGCACAACGTACGTAAATAAGCCTTTGAAGACATTACCTCAGACATCTACCGAACCATTCATTTTGTTTCCCGTTATCACCTCTTCTGGGTGGCTCTCAGATAACTTCTTTCTGTATTATACCTAGACCTTTGCCCCTTGACAATGTGAAGGAGACATTTTACATCGCAAAACCACCACATAATTATAATAGACGCCGTAGCAGAGGGCTCCAGAAATTTTGACCACCTGTTGCTCATTACCGTGCACCTAAATTTAAAGGTCCCTTGTCTCTACCACTTTGCCACCATCGAAATGGGACCTTCACGGCCGCGATAGAGAACTGCAAGGGGGCACCGGTGGCGCCAGACGGATTTTGTCCTTCGACACACAGGGTGGGCCATACATTATTAAAGTAAAAACTTTAGACGGCGCTCTTCTTAAAACGTGAAAACACGAGGCATTCTTTGGTCACGGCAGCGCCATAGGAGAAGCAACAAAACGAGTCCGGCACTGTTCAGCCCAAACGTCTCGACTTGGTATAGCTGTTTACAATACGTGATGCGTAGCTCAGGCCAAGTATTCTGTGTCAATTATTTACGCGCTCACAAGAAGGAGATTGGTAAGAAAAAAAAAAAACATTTTGGATGTTGCGTAATTACGAAGGAAACTGCCAGAGACTCAGGCTATTCGTGACACCGACGAGGTTTGCTAGCACTGTTTTACATGCTGCAAGAAAAACCTCTCTTCATCCAGCGAGAAGCGTGATGAAGCAGACCAGAGATTTCTTTAGGAAGAAGAAGCTTATGATGACTTGAACAGGTACATTTGGCTTTCTTCTGGTGTTTCACCACTGAAGCCCCCCCCCCCCCCCCCCACCTTGTCAAATTACAAACGCACCAGACCGTCTACAGAGATCGTTCTGCACATGCGCTGTTACTTTTACGAGGAGCGGATCATAAACGTGAAGGTGCTTAATAAATAGCGACTCCACCAAACTCTTGTTTTGACAGCGCCCTTATAGCCGGTGTCTTCCTATTCCAAGCCAGCTTTTTACCAATTCCAAAAGCTCTTTGCGAGGATGGTTTCAGATGAGAGACTCCGGGCATCTCGTTCGCGTGGAAAAACTACCAGTACAAAGTAACAAGGTGCATCGAGAAACTTGTACGAGCGCAAAAGAAGACGCACACAATCGGAAAGCGAAAAAAAAAGAAAGAAAGAAAAAGAATGTTTGTTACATCAGCCAATAGGAAACAAGTAAAGACGCTATTAAAAAGCGCGCTGGCCACGACAGCCAATGGGAGACTCGATACGGCGCATTTGAAATGCACGCCGAGTGAGAGAGAGCCAATCAGCAACCCGGGAACGATTTTCAGAGAAACCGCTACGACGACCATTCTGCTTGAATGATGTACAAAGGAAACAGCTTCAAACATAGCTCAAGATGGCGGCGCTCGGTATACTGGAACGCTCATGACGCGCGCGCGATGTTTGAACAAATTTTATTCCTCCAGGGACATTTTACTGCTGCCACGGTGCTTTGAAGGTTTATAGCATTTCCCCGCCGAATTTAGCATTAGTGATTTGAGAGTGGGTGCTTAGAAGTACAAGTGCACCAAAAATAGGTTTTTGCAAAAAATCAATTTGGTTGTTTTGAGACCCGCGTCCACCCTTGAGAATGGTGGGGCAATGGTACGTTTGCACAGCAAGGCTGTGTGAACAGAAACTACAGAGCAATGCATCTGAGATTCCCATGTGTGTGAACAGAAACTAAAAAGCACTGGATCTAAAATTTCTATGACGAGTTCCATTGGGAGAGCAGGAGCACTCAAAAGCACGCTTAAAGTGCTCTCTTGAGAGCCGGCGTGTTTCAGTGGTAGAACAGGTGCAGGATTGATTGATTGATTTGTGGGGTTTAACGTCCCAAAACCACCATTTGATTATGAGAGACGCCGTAGTGGAGGACTCCGGAAATTTTGACCACCTGGGGTTCTTTAACGTGCACCCAAATCTGAGTACACGGGCCTACAACATTTCCGCCTCCATCGGAAATGCAGCCGCCGCAGCCGGGAATCGAACCCGCGACCTGCGGGTCAGCAGCCGAGTACCTTAGCCACTAGACCACCACGGCGGGGCAGAACAGGTGCAGGAGCACTGTCATCCATTGGAAGAGCGAGAGCACTTTTGAAACGCCGAGAGCAGCCAAAAGCAGTTTGCAGTGCTCTCGCCTGAAAAGCAGAGTAGGCGCAGTGCGAGGAGTCACGCGGCCTTTGAACATCACAGCCTCCGAATTTTTCTGCAGCCTGCGAGTGCGGCCGCAATGGTAGCAACCGTGCGTAGTTTGATACCACTGTTTTGTACTGGCAGCGACAATGAAAGCTGGACGTCTGCCCAGTGCGTCGTTGCACAAATATATTGCGCATTAGGACAATTGAGAACACGCGACTGACCTGATTTTTCACGTATTTTGTTGCTGTTCAACAGAAAATGCTGGGGCTTGTAATGTTTCGATCACGTGGTCTCTCCACTGGTCACTCTCTCACCCACTCTTCGAGAACATGCCGCATTCCAGTGGCAGATTGAGTGAGCCTGCTTTCGGTGCTCCGTCTCTCGCTCCACACTGCACTACCCCTCTACTCTAATTCTCTCAATGAAATTTGAGACTAGAAAAAACAATTAAAAAGTGAGCTGCCTAGGCAGGTTAACCCTTTCGGCCGTGGAATTTTCGTTTTTCTCAAAGACATTTTTATTAAGTATTTTACAATTAGTTAGGGCCCCAAATGACTACGAACAAAAAATTTAGTCAGTGGTGTAAATACTTTAGGCAATCATGGCCCTGTAGTCAAGAAATGACAAAAATGTCTAATTTATTTCTGCTATGCCCTAGAGTACACAAAATCTGAACCAACGCAGTATTCGACAGTGTAAAAGCTCTTAAAACAACTTGAGGACATCATCCTGGAAACGCCCCCTTCCTGCTTCCCCTTGCCCACCTCGTCATCACCCATGACTTCGGTAAGCTTCTTCTTTACTCCAAGCTCCGCAAAAATGAAACAACGACGATGTCGATTGCAATGGAGATAGTTAAGGAAATATTTCTCCAAGGACAAGCAGGTTTGGTTTCGTTTTCAAGGTTCTGGGAGAAATTTTGTGTGCTATCAATTGACGACACCAGGTTAATGCACCTTGTAATTACATTTAAAAATCAGCAACGCAAGTTTAGAGAACCGTGCCGCTAAAGGTTTTTGAAGGCGATTGTCGGCAATAAAAAGCACACCTGTCTGGTTGAATTTGGTCCACGTCTTGTCGGAGCCCATGTGCACCTCGGGAGAGGAGTCCCTCGATTCTCTCGGGGGCACTTGGGGGTAGCCGGCTACAGCTGGGCCGTACGGCTGCACCGCAGAGAAATAGGCCTTATAACGACACTCGCACTTGCAGGCAGCGCACAAAGCTGAACAGAACTGAGATGCAGTAAATTTGTACAAATTTATCACCGCTGTTAGAAATATTCACAATAGACAGTTGACATGGACTGTAGCAAACAACTATCGCAGCAGGAAAGTGAAAGCTCTTAGAAGAATAAAGACAAACAGGAAAAACAAAAACAAGGGTTGTTATTCTTCGCTCAAACGGTCTTTGGCTGTGCTATGCAGTATTCTGCATGCCCCAGCAGACACAATCATAATTCTGGGTTATAATTCTGGTTAACCTGATGTGTGCAAATGCAGACACAGAATTATGGACCAACTCGCCCAGCTACAAGTTTTACTGAACCACACAATCGATAATCAGTGTTGTCTCTGCAAGCTGAAAGGTGGCGTTGACCATTTTCCTTATACGTGTTTCCAGGCTTTAATGCTTATTTGGTATTGCGGAAAAGCAGTATTTTACCGACACAAGCGAAATCATTTTTCCCTTCGGGGCCCCTTAATCTGCCTCGAGGAGCGCTGGATGGCACGACTCGAGTGGTGCCCACTAGGCTGTCTCGATGCTCCTCCTCCCCTGCTGCGCGGCGCAGGGTGGCGTCATCTCCTGCTGGTACGTCTGTCTCCGAAGTCTCTATTTCATTGCTCACGCCCCATGCGAGTGTCAAAGCAAGCTTACGCAGTCACTCGGGAGTCTGGTCGCCGAAATAGATGTTTGGATGTTGCGTGCCCCAGTGCACGGAAAGCTTTTTACAAACCACATGCCATCCGCGTGCTGATGAGAAATGGGCTCCGACATGCAAAAGTGGATCCAGCCAGTCGTTTTTACGGGGAGTGGGTGTTCTTGATGTACGACAGGGAAGCGAGGGGGAAGAGAAGTTCCTAATTGGTGATAGGAGGTAGACAACACACACTATAGGGAGGGTGGTGGCTGAGGCAGGCTTACGGGTGAGGTGCGATCCCTTTTAAAGCCGCTCATAGATCCACCACTGCCGCCATGGCACAGATGCTGCCACACTGCACAGAGCGACGGGGGAGGAGGAGCATCCAGGCACCTTAGTGCCTACCGGTGCAAAGCGCTACCCCTTTCTCTTGCAATCACGCCGTTGTAATAACTGCGAAAGCAAGCACCTGATGCTGCGGTGACAGCTCAAGCTCCTTCAGGCTGGGCTGCCTGGTCGCCTTGTTGTGGCTCTTCGATGGCGGAGGCGGCAGTTGGGTTGGGTGGCCAGCTGGATGGCAAATGGAACAGTCACAACCAAATCAAATGAGGGCATTTACTTCCAGGGCTACTGCCACAAGAAATGACAAGGTATAAGTGCCAGTAACATACATTACTCGTACACAAAAATTTAGGGCTAAGCAATGCTCGTACTTTCATTTCTTGCAGCTACAGTTTGTGTAATACTGGCATAATCTTGTCTCAGTTTAATTTATCCTCAGCAGCAGGATTTGCTCGTAGCCCCCAAAAGCCCCCAACATCATGGCATGTCTATCAAGAGCAATTGCTTACAGCAGTCGCACTAAAAAAAAAATTTCACATTTCAGTCTCCAAGTATGTTACATTATTCAATTAATCAATGACAAATTAAAGGAAGCAAAAGCATTTAGGATATAATCCCTACTGTTGTTCTGAGTGCTTATGTAAAATGTCAATGCATGAGAGCATTTCCACATACCACATTATTAAAACGTATAAAATTGGCCATCGTGGCTTGTTTAGATCACCTTACCATCGTAACTGACCCAATACAATTAATTGTCAATGACAAAAAAATAAAAAGGTTGCAGTTAATCACTGTTATAACTCACCGTGGTCGTTGGGCCGATGGAACCTCGGGAGGGGAACTTCAACGCCTACAGTGAAAACCAAATGCCCATACGAGTCAATGTCTAACAGTTGTTCAAGAAATGCCAGAAAAATGATTGCTTTTAAACACGTCACACTATCACCCTTGTCACCTTTTCATCTCAAGCTAGTAAAGGGTAGGAACCCAGCTGCAGTGTTCCAAATATGTTGTTGCAGTGCTTGGCCATTGAACTCAATCTCCCGTTAAAGATAAGTGGTTGCAATTTCTCGCGCTCGCCACTACAACATCCCTCATAATCATATCGCAGTTTGGCACATGAAACCCTAGATTATTATTACTAAAAGGTTGCACAAATTTTAAAATTCTTAGAACCTCCTTCATTTTTATAACGTACCTAAACGAAGATGAAACATGTACAGAATTTCTCAGACCGATGTGAACAAAAATTATGTTCTAAGAAAGTGGTTCTCAAATGGAGGTCGGCAGACCCTAAGGGGTCCGCAAATCCATTTCTATGATCCACGAAACTTTCACCCGAATTTTTTTTAAAGGGTCCCTGAAAACCCCCTCTGATATTTTCCCAAACATTTCAAGTAAACCAGCGCGTCGCGTGCAGAATGCCGTCCAGGTAGCGGGCACACCACGATTTCGAAAAAACAATAGCTTCTCTTTTTGGTCCCCGCCCTCCCCGCCACTGACATGTGTGATATCATTAGTGAAACTCGATGACATTACCACTTTCGATGCTTGCGATTGGCCGAACGACAACAGACGACTTCCAGTCACTCTGCAAACAGCTGTTCGCGCGCACCTTGCTGTTCTTGGTCGTGTTGCCGCTTGTGAATCGACATCTGCGACCCGTAACGCAACGCAGGGTCCATACCGGCACGATTCATAGGGGCACAGGCCGGCACGACAACAACAGCGGTTAGTCAACGATCAGTGCACCCAGATGACACACACAACACAGTAACGGCAAGCTGGGGCGTCAGAGTGGCGGCTCGGGGCAACCGGAAGTAGACACTGTCTCGAACAGTGCGCCAGCCACGCGAGATGAGGAGGGACACTCAGCTGACTCGGCGAGGAGGGGCCAAGCGGTTTTGGAAGAGGGTAGCGTAGGAAAGAGGGAAAGAAGCGATCGCCACGTTTCGATCATCAACGCGAGTAACTCCGCTATTACGACACCATTTCAAAAAAATTCTCACGGCTACGTGTTTGTTGTAAACTCGATCACAACTTTCTCACCTCAACGAAATTTTGTTCGATGGGTGGTTTAGGGGCCCTTCAAGTGTGACTGTGCCACATATTGATGAACTGTCGGAAATGAAGTAATGTGGCACGTTTGTTTGATGCTTTTGGTAAAAATAAAAGGCACCTGTGTCACGCTCCAGTTGTGTTCATTTACCCCTCCTTCCTCTCCGCGGCAAGGGGTCCCCCATCACTTCCACTAGTCCACAAGATGTCCCCGACACATTCATGGCTGAGAACCGTTGTTGTAAGACAACACAATTACAAAGAACGCTGTATCAAAAGCCCTGGGCTTATGTTGACAGCCTCGGGTTCTTCGACATGTGCACTTAGGGGAGGTCAATGGTCTTAGCGATGAAAAATAATGAAAAAAATATTTTTTTGGATATAGTATTTTTATAACAAACAAGCATGACCACAACTTCTGACTAAGTTTCATACATATCTGATTGATATTTCAGCCATGATAGAAATTTCTATCACCAAAACAAGCTATATTTGATAAAAAAGGCAAAAGAAAAAGGGCTGTTTTACTGCCAAGCTGCCTCCAAACGGCGTAGCTGCAGCAGCAGGCATGCCTGTTAAGTCCCTGGTGGCTGCTAATAATCTAATAAAAATATTTCCATATCTTCTGTTACTCAAAATGAACATCTATTTTCTTGCATTTTCCCGAACAGGCTTCTACTCGACTTGCTTTTTTGGTGCAGCAATTTCTTAATATCTAAGATAGCTCCAGCTGTAACACTTTTTGCTTTATGACGCTCAATGCATAGAGTTCGAACTGCTGTAAGCAAATTATTTTCTTACTTTATAATTTTTTTAATGTGCCTTTGTTCTTGATCATTACTATCTGTACTGTGAATGCTGAATTTCAATAGGCTGCTTAATTGCTAATTCATCTTAGATTTTAAATCAGCTTGCAGCATTTCAATCCATTGTTCTTTTTCACTCGTGCATTCTGCCTAGTTTATTATTATCTACTCTCTCACCAAACAATAACAGCGAACATTTAATTACCTCAATACTTATTTTATATCAAGAAAGAACTGCTGCACTTTTGAAATCATCACAAAATAGTACATACATATTTGTGAGTACAAATTGAATCTGCTCAGAAAATGGACAAAATAGCCCCAGGTGCCATGTCCCCACTTAATTACACAAGCCTTTCTGCATTTCATCCGCACGGAAATGCAACCGCCATGGCTGGAAATCTAGCCCACACCCTCGCGCTAAATGGTGAAATGCCACAGCCACACCATGCAGCAGGAGCATGTACAATGTAATTGTGGCTAATGCAGTGCGGTAACACAATTGTGACTTGAAACTCTGCTAAAAACCATTTCGAATTTTGTGTATGCTGTGGCCTCTGGACTTTAATTCCTAAGGATACTAGTGTACGTTTTAATTAAGACCCATTAAAACATTACATTTGTTTCCACCATGACTGAAAAGCGAACATTTTTATCTCACTGTCAGTGACGGAATGTAGCTACTATGCTGTTGCATTGAAATTTGAAAAAAAAAAAGAAGAGTGAACTACAGTTTTGTCTACCATATAAATGCTCACTCTTTTCACTCCATGATACGAGTGAGTTGCCAATGCACACCACCATAAAGAACCCAGTTGCTGTTGCAATAATATCTTCAAGTACCACTAGAAGGGCACCTAAACCACATTAGATACTTTTGCAACATTTCTAGTAAATGCAAGCATCAGGCCCAGAATGCCGTCACAATTGACAATGGCAAATGTGGGAGCACTACGGGCTGCGGGCAAGCAACAAATTCCAAGAAACAGTCCCCTCATTCCAGGTCTTTCAGTAACTCTCAACATGCCTTGTGACATTACCTTCTTGTCTGGTCATGTCATCTGCAAAAAGGACCTGTTTGTCTGCCAGCAGGCACAGGTGTTTGCTACTTTTTCTCGCCTTGCGAGGAGCCCTCGGCCAGAGAGAGAGGAGTTGATGGACAGAGCACAGCGAAGGAACGTGGAAGGAGCCAGGGCCTCTTTTGGATCAAACACATGCAACAGCCTATAATGCCACTGTTCCGAAAAATTTTCACACCTACGTGTTCGTTCATTGTTAACTTGTGCACAGCTGCAACGCCACCACAACTAAATTTCGACCTCTGGGTGGTTCATGGCCCTTTGATAAAAACGGCAATCCGTACTGCGATTTCCAGCCCTTTTATACTCACCTGAAGAGAAAGTGTCCAACTTGAGGGGAAGGCCGGCCTGTGCAGCCGCTATCAGTTTCATGGCCAGGTAGAACTGGGGACGACCGAAGTGGCCCAGGCGTTTGGCACCGCACAGCTCGGTAATCTGGGAAACAATTTCACCAAAGCCACTTCCGAAAAGGCACCAGCAGCACACACACACACAAAAAAACACTGTCAGAGATGTTAAGAAGTCTGAAAAAAGACACAAATTATAAAGCTTAATGAATCAATATTACACACCAGGCAACGAGAGGCCGTCTCAGCAAAAGGGCGCCTCACAGATATCTACCACCCCACATGGTATGGACCTCAAAGGAATGAAGAGAATTCGTAGTAAGCCACTAATACAAAGGCAGGCTAGGATTAAACCTGCAACCTTGCACTCCCCAGAAAAAGAAATACACACCCATAAGCACACACCCGGATTTCTGGTGTTTCACACGATGAGACCCACAGCACGACTGTGAAGAACACCTCAGTGGGGGCACACAAGATATTTCCCCCATCTGATGTTCAATAATGTTCACATTATTCTAAGTATAAATTTTTTTGCGTTTCACCCCCCTCAAAATGCATCCATGGTTGTGAAATGAAGCAGCGTCCTCGAAGAGCCAAAGTTGGGTCCAGTTGGTTGTGCATAGTCGACACTTGTAGCGAGCTGCAAGTGTCAACAGTATCCTCATGGCTCACACACCCAATGCTGTAGCCACAAAACCACTAGTGTGGATGTACGCCACAGTGGCAGACCAGCTAAACCCTGTGTTTGCCTAATGGGAAAAAATAACTTGGATGTCAACAAAAGCTACGAGGAAAATTTTAACAGACCATACCTTTAGTCCACGAATGGCCCTTTACATGCTAAAGTTACCCTAAACTAACAGACACCCTTTGTTGTTTAAACGTCGCACTGTTTACTACTGATGAAAAGGTGCAACTACTGTTCGATTCTCGAATTCCATTATACACAATGGAGAAAACAAATAGTGAATAAAGAAATGTTACACCATATTGCACGCATGGTATTCTTTACAAATTAGCCCTGCAGTGCAAACGTGAAAAAGCTTTGCTCCATCGGCTACTATATGTATTTTTCGACACATTTATTCACTGCTATGAACATAGAAGCACATGACCACAATATTTTATTTTTCACAAGTGCCAGCTTGCAGGACCCCACTTGTGAGCCACTGAGGCATATTTCGCACCCTTTTACCACAAAACTTTCCTTCGACATAGTTTCACCTTTACCACTCTTTATTAGCCTTTTCAAATGCCACCTATAAAAAAGTGTCCATAAATGCATTGAATTTTCACATTACCTCAAGGCACTTGACATTCTCTTGCAATAAAAATAATGTTATAACACACTGATTAGTGTGTTTTACAGGAATTGATCTTAATTCAGTGTAAATAAATATATATTGTGATCTTCATCTGCACTTAATTTTGTATAAATATAATCAAATGTAAGACTACATATATAGATCAAGTTTTTTTTTAGGTATGTTCATTTTGAGGAAAGAAAATTATATTTTAAATGTGGCTCACAGACAGTGGTACATTGAACGACTCGTTAGCCATGGTAGTGCCTTCAACAAAGTCACCATAAGAAACAGCAGAGGGCAAAATAAAATTAAATTAAGATGCATCTGTCAGGAAAAGGGTTCAATTAGCCCAAATTACAATGTTTCATGGTCTGTCTTAGCCTCTAGTTGGCACAACTAGCAAATAAACAAGTGATATTCACAATTATGTAGAAAGCATCAAAAAGGACTAAATTAACGGATGCTGCCACTGAAACCCACCAACTTCTTGAACCACATATACAGAACAGTAAAATGCTGTAATGACTGCACAGAAATACGGGCATCCTTATTCAAAACAAGGAAATGATTCAACACGCTGCGCAGTGAAGTCACGTACCAGATAATGCGTTGGGGTCAGAGGAAGTGTGAACATATGAGGGTAAACAAGAGAAGCCCCCAACTCCCGGGATGATAAGTTCAACAGCTCACAATCATTACAAAAAAGGCACAACAAAGCAGATCATGCACAGACAATCTATTCATAGCACAGCATGCCTATCAGTCATGCACATACCATCATGTCAGTGCTAATATCAAAGAATGATTAATCTGCATAAGGGTATGCATTTCTTTGCTAACCACAACTGCATGCGATATTTGAGCTTAGGCAACAGCTTCTTAGTAACTGGGACTTGCAGTCTCTTTTTATTTTTCTTCATAATGTAAACTAAAGAGAAAAAGTGTTCAACTACAGATTCACGCCAACGAAATCCAAGATTAAAACATGCCAACTAATAAAGAAAATCCAATTGAATTGCTGCATTTGCAAAAATTCTGAGGGTTTGGATCATGGCGACTTATATCCCTCGTGCCAGGAATGCAAGCAAAACCAGATGATGGGACACCAGAATTACTCCACAATTGGCATTCAAGCTATTGTGTATGTTGCTAAGCACCAATACTTTTTTTTACATACATCGCAAGAATTACCATAAAAGCTAGACAGTTTCAGCGACACCTACCACAGAGACCCAAAATACAAAGCATGGCCACGAATCTATGAAATATAAAGGTACATAATCTAGCACCCGACAAGACTTTATCGGAGCTGCACGCATTCAAGATGCATTTGACAGCTTTTACATTTACAAAGCTGTTGAACTATAGCTTTCACACTAGGATCTTTGTAGCTCAAGTTTGTTGGGATTGCGTACGCACATGAAATAATGATATGACCTCATATATCAGGCAAGCAAAATGGCATATGATATTCAACACCCCTTTTTCACTACGGTTCAGAGATAATGCTGCCTGCTCAAATGTACAAGATGCAGCGTACATTTGGCTGCTGCAAGTCCTGAGACCTCCGTACCCGAGACATTAGCAGGCTTAAGAGGAAATTAGAGCTTGCAAGGGTACATGCAAGCAACATCGCGTGATGCAATTTTACTGGCATTGGTCACATACTTCTTGAAAAATTCCATGCTTTTTCAGAGGCCACATCTGTACACTTTTGTGTCCGAGTACATACCAAACACCAATTCTTGATCTCACGGTATGCCGGGCAGCCTCAATCAATGAAGAGAAGGAAAATGTTCTTCGGTTCATTGACCATGAAAAATATGACGAAGGATAAACACAGCAAACAGGCATGGCTTAGAATGGGCCTCGATGGCGCAGCTTCACCTTTACGTTCGCTGAGGCAAGCATCGTCAAGACAGGTTAGTAGAAACAAAACACGGGATTTGCGCTTTAGTTGGCCTATCTCCGAATCTCTACTGTGTTCAGAGGCTGCCACAGCGCAGCAAACAAGCAGCGTAATGAGGCGGGAATACTGAAAGTACCATAAAACACTACTCAAAAGCTGAACAAGCTAACCACGTACCGGCAGGAAAGGAAAACAGACCAAGGCTCGGACCAAGCCCCTAGCTGCTGCACAAAACACTTCGGCTGGCTGAGCAAGCCCGACTCGTGGAAGCAGCAGCGAATGCAAACCGCGGAAGACCTGACGCCGCTGCGTCGACAGCTGTCAATGCCAGCGCAGCGAGACACCGTCAGCGCGCGAGTGTCACCTTACAATGCAACAAGAAACACGCATACGCGACAGAAAGGAAACATTTCGGCTGATATTCTACCCGGAAAAAAAAAAGAAGAGAGACAAGAGCATCGACACAAGATAGCTGCCTCGTATCACGCTTGATTATGATATGGCGAAGTGACCAAGCCGGTCATTGACCAAACGGGTATTTCTCAATCGCGAAGTTTATCGAGAAGAAAGAAATAATGATGTCGAATAGTCGCATACCTGCTGGAGAGTTTCGGTCGGTAGCTGCGTCGCCAGTAGCAGCTCGGACGCCTTGGAGCCAGATATTTTCTCTTGCCCATCGACGTCGTAGGCTGAGAAGAGCTCGCCGAAATAGCGCTGCTCACCATCGGTCAGTTTCAGCCCAGGGTTCTCCATCGCGGATGACAGCTTGTGTGCTTGTAACGGCACGTGTGCGCGATCAAAGACTCGCTGTCAGCATCCCTGAAAGAGGCAGGGGGTTCGAACATCTGGCGATGTGTTCGGCCAGTTACGCTCCATGCGAAAAACAAAACAAAAAAGAACACCGCGAACGGTCAAAAATCTGTCCCGAGCTGTCGGCTCCCACCTCGCAGCACCAGCTGCTCGAGCGCCGACGTTTTCAATTCGCGTAGGTGTGAACACGAAACCGACACACGTCGAGCTGCAACGGAACCGCCTGAACCGCTGCTTGACGGCAATTACCAGCCAAACACTCGTACAGCATGACAAAAATAGTAGGCCTAGATATCCGGTCTCTGCCGGCTATTTGAGCCTCTACGCACGCTATCAGGAGGTGCAAGGCACAGGGGATTGCGGGAGCGACGGGAAAAGAACGTCTCGTACCTCAACCGCCATGGAGTCGGTGACCACTTAGCCTTCCGTGCGAATTTTACGACGCAAAACGAGCACCGCGCGACTAACCCATCCTTCGTCGTCTACCGTGCCAACCATGCCCACTCCGTGCCGACATTCGGCCGTAGTAAAATAAATTCATTTGTATCTTTTTAGTCGCAGTTGTAGTACGAACAGGAAATTTGTGGCGAGAGCAAACGCCGCGGTCCGGATCGTAAAATTAAACAACTTCTTTATTTTTATTTTCTAAAACAGATTAAACGTAAACGTTGCGATAAGGTGAAAATTTGGCGCTAATCACAGCCAATCGCGATTGAGATATCGTGACTGGTTGGCGGATTTGGCGCGAGACGGCGAGGGTATGCGCATGTCAGCCGGCATTGTCTCGCTTGAAGAAGCCGGCGCTCACTGTAAAATCTTGTCAAAAATACGGGCTCACCGGCACCATTAGGACCATTCATCAGCGACTGTAGCTCAGTTTTGTTTTGTTGAGCAGCATCTCGAGGCACAGCAATGGCAGACAAGGACGCCGGTAAGCGAAAGAGCAGTGGATGCTCCTGCTTCGTGGGGCTGTATGGGGGTGTCTGACCGAGAAGCTGGCGTGGACGCCGTGCGGCTAAGTTTCGAGGTTATTGCGTTTGAAGGGCGTGATATTTGAATCGTTATTTGCAAATTGGTGCTCAGTGAATTTCCAGACAACTTTGTATCAATGTTTACGCCGCACGAAGGAAAGACATCGTCGTGATGTTAGGCTACGCCTTACACGTATCCTTGCCTGATTTAGTTTGCATTGTCCGCGTATCGTAGTTATTGCGTAAAAGGTTTTACGTAGTTTATTAGAAAAACCTCCCAGAATTGACCGCATTTGCTTGTGTTATAAGCTCGAGTGACTTAAATCGCGTTATGCTTTGATGTACCGTAGTTTTCTGAAGCACGTACCATCACATGCCGTGCTTTTTTTTTCATAGCTTATTTATAATATCTTATTACCACTGAGACATGGGTACAACTGAATGGGTGTTGCACACGGACTTTCTGGTGTGGTATTCTCCTGTTCAGCCGAAGCATCGAGGTCGCGGGTTCGCTTCCCGGCCGCAACGACCCCGCATTTTGATGGTTGCGAAGTGCAGAGACTCTTGGGTACACAGTTCTGCATGCACGTTAAATATTCGAAAATAGTCCGTAGTTTTGTTTAACGTCGCGTGAATCCTAACGACGTATCGGTACTTAAAAACAAACCAGAACTTGTTTTTCATATACTGCCGACCACAAGCCACGTAGACGTCTAGCTTTGTGGCTAGTAGCTGCTTTAGGCAAACACTGTTGACTGTTTTCTTCACTCGATCGTTTCACTTGTAGTTTTCTTAGTTGCGAAAAGGCGCGCTTCATTTTCAGTGAGTGATTAGAAGCCACGTGAAACTTCACCTCTTCTTAATGTACATACAGTCGAGCACGATTTGAAAGTTATCGCGCGAGCATCGGCCAAGAACTACAACACCACCACATTCCAGAATACTTTATTAAGAGAGTGGTATTACGTAAGTATCACTCGCTCGTTTTGCTGTGCCTTAAGCTGCAATTACTCCCGTCTGAGGAAGGTGTTTAAACGAAGCACTGCAAAGCATCGGCTTAGCGAATTTTTATTCGCCCGTGGAGATAAGTAGGGAGGCACTTAATCGCAATGAATGGAAGGCCTAAAAGAAAGGGGGTTGTAGTTTGACCTAGGGGTCATTGTCCCAGCATGGAACAATCGACGAGGGAGAGAAGAATGCCCAGTCTTGATTTTTCACTGTTCTGGAGTGAGCCGCTAGGTTCCTGGGTAGGCAAGCCGACGCTTGCTCAATAACCTTCATATCGTGCGGCACTGACACCCTCTGTTTAAGGAGAACATGAAAAAAAAAAAAAAAACTTGATTAAGAATTGGTAAATACAAGCTGGAGACAAATTTTATGGAACTATGCTTCTTGCAAAATGTACTTCAACAAGGGCTGCATAAATGCCAGGCATGCCTGTTGTTGTTTGGACAAAGGTAATGGGTAGCTGAAAGCAGTTTTGCATCGAGCTTCAATGAATTCATGAGCACCACTGCGACTGCGCTGTGCTGCTCAAGATCTTAGAATAGTTAGCAATCCCAGCCAATCCTGTTTCACTACAGCATCCCCGTTCCACTACAGCCTCCTTAGTAAGCGCAAATTAAGTAACTTGCGTATTTAAAGCACGGGCCGTATGGTTAGATTAGGCTATTTTGGATATATGTGTACCTGCCATGGTGGCCTAGTTGTTATGGCCTCGACTGCTTACCTGGAGGTCATGGCATCAAATCCTGACCGCATTGGCTGCATTTCAATGGAGATGAAGTGCTCATGGCCTTTGTACTACGTTTAGGTACAAGTAAAGAACGTGATAGTGGTAGATTTCCACTATCCCTCAAGAGGAAGGTATATAACAGCTGTATCTTGCCGGTACTTAGGTACAAAGCAGAAACCTGTAGACTTACAAAGAAGGTTCAGCCTGAATTGAGGACGGCGCAGCGAGCAATGGAAAGAAAAATTGTTGGTGTAACCTTAAGAGACAAGAATATAGCAGAGTGGATTAGGAAACAAACAGGGGTTAAGGATATCATAGCTGAAATCAAGAAGAGGAAATGGACATGGGCCAGGCATGTAGCGCGTAGACAGGATAACCGCTGGTCATTAAGGGTAACTGACTGGATTCCCAGAGAAGGCAAGTGGGTTAGGGGGAGAGTGAAGGTTAGCTGGGCAGATGAGATTAAGAAGTTTGCGGGTATAAGTTGGCAGCAGCAAGCACAGGACCGGGTTAACTGGCGGAACATGGGAGAGGCCTTTGTCCTGCAGTGGACGTAGTCAGGCTGATGGTGATGATGATCTCAACCAGGGTTTACATATAATAGTGTGTTTGGAATGCGTTCGTGCGATCACTTTTAGTGCTGCTTACCGTTCTGCTGTCGTATTACGGGCGTTGAGATAACAGTGTGCTGTCTGCGCAGTTGAAGAGAGGGTGATCAATGAGGAGTACAAGATATGGAAGAAGAACACTCCTTTTCTCTATGACCTCGTAATGACACACGCACTGGAGTGGCCCAGCCTTACGGCCCAGTGGCTCCCAGACGTAACACGGTAAGTGCTGTCGGCCAGTTTTTGCACATGCACTGACTCAGTGGCTTAAGCACGGCATAGTACTTTGTATTTTATACCTTTCTTTCAGCTTCCACCTACAAAATGTCATAGCTAACCAGATCTGTGTACGTTACAGGGTAAAAATTAATTGCAATTACATTCTTCAAGAATGTAATGGAAAGATTAGTTAATAATTACCTTACCAATAAACTGAGCACTTAATGAAAATGAATCAATTATTTGTCTTGCTACCCTTCCAGCTTGCATTTCCGTTGCACAAGTACAGTAGTTGAAACAAGCTGGCATGGCTATCGCTGTCCTGAGCAGCTCTTAATGCCTTGTTTTCCACTAGACACTGGACTTCTGATAATTACCTTCTCTTGTTTCTTGTGAAAAATGAGAAGTGATGATGCCCCGTCTTGACAAGGGGTATTGCTAGTGTGGTCCTCGGAGATATGGATACTTCTCGGGCAACCAAAGCACACTCGCCTTGGGTGGGGACGCGGTCATGTTGGCCCAGCACCAATGTATGCCCATTTGCATCTCTCGACACAAATGTGTGCGAGAGGCACCCCAATGAGTTGAGAGATAAATACTTCGGATTGTTAATGTTTCTTCTCCCGCTTCTTCTGAGCAGCTACTGCAGCTTCTCTTACATTGCTCTAGTTGTCCCACCCACATTCTTCGTCGGTATGTCAATTTTGCTAGAACTTCAGTCTCTCTTTGACTATTTCATTTTTCACGCCATTGAATTGCCAGGTTAGTTGGCAATTCCATGAAAAAATCTCATTCATAAAGACAGGGAATACATCATCGCCGAGAAGCATGCAGCATAGCCCGGTGGTGTGTGGCAATATCCATTCTTGCCCTCAGTGCACCACAAGTTTCTTGACGTATTCCTTAAATAGATACTGAACAAAATTTTCGCCCCCCAAGATTTTCAGCCATATTGGAAAATTGGACCCTGAAATTGATAGAAAACCTTCATTTCAGGCAGATTACTGGAAAACATTGTGTTTTTCACAAATTGTCGCATCTAGCAGCTACGCTGTGAACTAGAGAAGGTGGCATTCAATGCCGTCGCACATGCCCGAAATCGGCAAGTCAACAATGCCAGCCGTCGCCCGCGTTTTTCGACTCGCTCAACTTTCACTTCAGCTTCCAAAACTGGTATGAACAGCAGTGGACAGTGCTTTTAGCTGGGCCAAAGCACCAGAGCTTTTGTGGAAGGGAAAGAGTGGGATGAGAGGAGAGGTCGAGAAAAGGAAGAGAAGGACCATGAGCTCCTCATGAGCATCCTCATGAACATGAGCATCCTGCATGCTCCTCGATTAGTGTGACATCACGGCTCGCGCTCGCGAGCAGTTGTCGTGCGCTGACAGTGCATCGTAAATATGGGAAATTGTCTCATTTTATCAAGACAGTGGTATCTTTCGAGTGGAGTTTCAGTTTCGTCAATTTTTTCAATTTTTGTTAGTATCTCCTTACGGAGCCGGTTAGTGCGGCATGCATCTCTGTTGATGAAATTCTCGGCTTGTATTATAATACCCTTTGATACTCTTTCAGTGTTGATCATTGCTTGGGTTTTGCACTGCCAATGTCCACCTCAAGTGCATCAATGCCGTCATTATTCAGGTCATTCCAGTTTTCGATGAGAACATCAGTTGAATTTGGCTCGCCTGTAATGTACGAGCCTGGCCATTAGGAGCACCACGCCCGCACTGTCTCCATAATGGGCATGGCAGCATTGATGCCGAAAGAGAATGGGGAGTGGGCTGTCTTTGAGATCCCGCAACTCCGAAATAGATCAATATCTGAAAGAAGCGTCGCTCGCTAACTTGTTAACATCCTAGTTTTACTTCTGTGAATGAACTTCTAGTGCGATTTGAAGGACCTCGGTGTTTTCAGTTGTTGATCAATAGTATTTCTGCATTCTGTAAGATCTTGAGTTGCCATAGATGGAGCTGTTGACCAGGGTGT